AATAATCTATTAATTACTATTAGGAATTAGTGGTAGGGGTCTAATTAGGTTAATAGCCCACCTTTTAAATAGTAGGGCTATTATTAGTAGGCTAAGGCATCTATATTAAAGGTCCTTCTATAAGCCTTATAATACCTAACATGTAGGGCAGTCTTAGACGCGTTATTTAATATTAGTCTATATTATTAGCCACTATCCCTAGGGCTAAATGACGCCTATAAGTCCTAGGTATTTAAGGTATCTAAATTTATTATATATTTACTTAATAAAGTTAGTATAAAAAGAGACTAAGAGATATAATACTTTATAGTTATTATAGATGTACTTTAGCTTATTATTATTCTCTCTTATTAGGTGAAAGTCAGGAGCCATCTTTTTAATTATATATTAAAGACCCTAATATATAGGTGCTTTACCTATTACTAGGTATATTACTATACTTTTTAGCTACTCCTCCTCTAAGTGGCCTTAAAGTGCTAATAGGGAGGCTATAAATATTTATTGCCATTCTTATTAGACTATATCCTCCACCCTATTTCTAGGCCTATCTTTAATAAAGTTAGGTTAGTGACTAATAGTGTTAAGGATAATTACTTTAGTCTCTTTTTAGTAGTAAATCTTTAGACTATATCTACTAAACTTATTAATTTACTATATAAGTCTCTTAGAGTATATCTTTATTATTAATAGATACTATAAGCTCTTATAATCTATAATAATAGTTATAATAGTGCCATTTTTAATATAGTAGTCCTAAATTTATAGCACCTCTTTTATTATAAGCAGCTCTTTCTCTTATATTAAGTAGTTTTACTCTATTAAAGATAACTTTTATCTATTAAATATAATAGGGTGGTTAGCACTATCTTCTACTATTTATAGAAGGACTATACTAATAGCCTACTTAGAGATATCTATCTTAATATAGAACTCCTTCTTATAATCTAGTAAATAGAGTACTAGGGTGGTTATTAGGGCTTCCTTTACCACTTAAAAGGCAGCCTTATATAATATAGTCTATATAATAAGTTAAAACTTTTTTATGCGCAATTCGGCGTCTAATTCCTTTAGTAGGTTATATAGAGGCATAATAATATATATAAACCCCTATATAAATTATTAATAATAAGTAGCTAATTCTAGGAATTAGTGAACCTTATAGATATTCTGAGGCCTTAGCTAGTTTAATACTACTTTAACTTTTTTAGGCATAGGTGATATCTAGCCTCTTTTAATAATATATCTATAAAACTCTAGTTTCTTTATAGCAAACTTATATTTTGACACCTTAGTATATAGTTAATACTCTTTTAGGGTAATAAGGACTAGATTAAGGTATTAGCAGTACTTATTAATATTCTTAGAGAAGATAAGAATATTATTAAGGTATATCACTATAAAGTAGCTAATATACTTCCTTAAGATATAATTTATTATTATCTAGAATATTACTAGTATATTGCAGAGACTAAATAGTATAGCCAAAAATTTAAATTTATTAAATATTATATTAAATACTATTTTCTTAATTAAGCTGCTCCTTATTTATACTTATTAATATCTTAATAGAAGGTTAATCTTTAATATTACCTAGCTTCTACTTAATATATCTAATAACTCTTAAATCTAGGGTAGTGGGTAGCTGTTCTTAACTATTAAGTTATTTAGCGCCTAATAGTTAATATATATTTACTATTCCCTTATCACCTTATAGATAAACACCACTAGGAAGCCCTAGGGGCTAGTAGAGGGTTAAATAAGCCCCTTTTACTTTAGGTCCTCTAATTATTAAATTAGTTCTTTAAGTTTTTCTTATAAGAGAGAGAAAGGGCTAATATTAATGGGCATGGCATTACTTATATTAATATTATATATAATATCTTACTTAGGTAAGAGGGCCGCTATAAGTTCTTAGTAGAAGATATTATATTTCTAGAGGACTACCTCTACTCTAGGATTTATATATAGCTTATACCCATCTATAAGCTTAGTAGTTTATTAGAGGAAATAGAGGACACCTTTTAAGTTTATCTTATATAGTATATATAATATATATTATACTAAGATTATATTAATATATAGTATAATTATAACCTATTATTTAATATCCTTTAAAAGTATAGAGAACTATTCGCCCTGGTGGTCCTAGAGGACTATCCTTAATTCTAACTATTTAATAATAAGGTTAATAGCCTTTAGCTATATCTATCCTAAGATAATATTATATTTAAGGTTATTAATAATTTAGATAGGGGTTATTCTTATCTATCTGCTGAGATGTAGTAGGAGATATACTTAGTATATAGCTAGAATATAGTCACTATTTAGTAGTATTATATCTAGCTATATACCTTTATCACTTTATTAGGGTAAGGTATAGGTGAGTTTTTAAAGTACTCTACTACTTATAAAGTTATTAAATACTTTATTATTAATTATATATTTAACCTTCCTCTTCCCTTATTCTCCTATACTAATTTCTCCTCTAAAAATTAGCAGCCCTTCACCTAGGGCATTAATTTATACTAGCATTATTTAGGTTTTTAGTTTTTATTTTCTTTATAGGGGTAGTACCCCTTAAGGGTCTAGAGCATTAAGGAGATTAATATTAGGGACTATAGAAGCCTTAAGTATTTATGCTGCTAGTGCTTCTAATTCTAGTAGTTAACTCTATTTCCCTCTCTTAGGGCCTTTATTATAGAGGTGGTTATTAGGACTTTACTTAATTAATAATCCTTTATATAATATCTAGGTTTCCTATATATAAAGTAGAGCCCCTTTATGCGGGTGAGAGATTATTAGGGGTATAGAATATATTAGTTTATAAGGATAGGCCTCCTAGGTAGGGTATATAATTATCTTAGAATATTAATATCTATAGCATCTAATGCTCCTATTAGCCTATAGATATATTATATAGTAACAGCTTCTTTTTTATAGAGAGTAAATTTTATAATAACCCTAGCTAAGGTGGTTAGTTTATTAAATTTATATACTTATTATCCTTAGAGTTGTTTCTAGCTGCCTATAATAAATTATTAGATAAGTATATTTTTTACTAATAGAGGGTTAATCTAATTTATGACCTCTACTAGTTTATGGGTATATACCTAAATAGGTTATTTTCCCTAGATAAGGTTCTTATACGCCTCCTAGTGGTGTTCCTTATTAAGGTATTTAGTATAGTTATTAGTAATCTATTTCTTAAATTCTACTATAATCTTAATAGGGGTATAGAGCTTATTATTAATAGAGCTCTATAAATATCTCTATTACTTATATACCTTATTATTAAGCTTCTATTTCGCCACCAGGACCTTCTCCCTATTAATTATAAATTTCCTATATAGGACTTCTTTATTCTAGAAGTATTTATCTACTTACTGTAGCCATTTTTAGGCGCCCTTATCTTAATACTTACTTATATATTTAGGGATTTAATTAAGTTCTAAGATCTTTTAGTAGGGGCGTCTACCTTAATTAGTAGAATTATTAGTTAACTCCTAATGGCTAGTTTTAATAGCAGCTGCTTAGGGGCTATTCTAGGGGCCTAGCTATCTAGTAGTTATCTAATAGAGGTTATTTTAGAGCTAGGCCACCTGCACGCGAGTAGTCTTTAATTCCTAGACTAGATAATTTATCTAGCCTCTTTTATCTTAAAGTATTTACTCTAGGTGTCTTAAGAGGGGGCAAATGTCTATTTCATCTACTCTAATAGTTATAATTATTAAGAGGATTTTAAATGCCTTAGGTGATAGGTGGTTCTATATATTATTAATAAGATTTATTATTAACTTATAGTAAAAGATTAGGTCTTTTATTTACTTAGTTCCTTTAGTAAAGATGCTTAATAATTTTTCTTTCTTTACTTAGGGGATCTTTTATCCCTTTTATCTAGCTTTTAAATCCTATTAATCCTTAAATGTTGTCTATAGTGTGGTAGTCTATTGGGGTTAATATAGGGGCTAACCCCTAATATAATATACTACTAGATATAATATTTAAAAGCTAATTCCTCTAGAAATCTCTATTCTATTGCTACTATAAGTTAGAGGGAAGGTATCTATATACCTCCCCTTAGCTTATTAAAAGCTAAGTAACCTAGTGGCAATAAAACTCTATAAAATTAATTAATCCCTAGTATAGAGTGAAAACTCTATATAACTGCTCTACTAGGGTTAGAAGATCTTATATTGTTGGTGAGTGGGCACCTTAGCATTCCGCTAAGGTGATCCCGCTCATGGCCACATAGGAGTTCATGATATCACTCACTTGCGATATCACATTATATTTAAAGAACTAGTTAATCTTTAGAAAGTGGCAATGCTAACCCACATTAGGAATAAATTAGATAAGGAATAATTAATAATTAATAAGTAAATAATTCTCCCTTTTTTTTTTTTTTCTACTGTTACATACTTTAATTAATATTAAATAAGAGGTTAGCTAGTCTAGATAGGTGCTCGGCAATGGGGGGTGTGTCAGAGGTGTGTGCCTGATTAGGCTTAGCGTCGCCTTATTTGGCGCGGCTGTACCGCATAACCACCTGCTTCGCGTCCGAGCCGTAGCAGTAATAGCAACCATCAGCCATCTCTTCCCTTTTCCAGGCCTGCTAGGCCAACAAAATATATTAGCAGAATTCTCAAGTACCTATAGTTAGTGGTTGTTTATAGAGGTACCTTAACAGTAGTGGCAGGAGTAGAAACAGACATGTAGAGTAGATAGCAGTAGTATACCTAGGTAGTGATTGGAATGTATTGAACATCTTGTCAATAGCCACGCCTTGACATAAATATCAGTAGAGATACCATCAAGTGTGGGCTCATATTTGGTCGATTGGTCTCCACCATATGCCAGACTCTCTAATAATGGTCTAATCATATATACAGGGATAACCATGTCTACTTTTGATATTTCATCTTAATAGAGGGGAATAGCTTGAGCATTTTGATAGCTTTTTAATTAGAGGTATAGTATAATAGAATTAAAGACTAATAATACCCTTTTATACTGAGGATTCCAACAACACTCCAGATTAAAGTCTCAGTATATCATACTCGTGGTCGTATTTCTACTATTAGTGATTGATTGTCGCAGCCATGTAGTACTTTTTCATTCACTTGCATATGAAATTCTTCTTTGATACCCCTGCGCAGTAATTTTATTCCTCCACTCCATCCACCCCAGTTCCACTCTATCAACCACCACTCTCGTCGTCATGGAAGAGAAAAGAAATAAGAGAAAGAGAGAAGAAGACAACATTCTCCCTCTTCTCTCACGCACGGACGACCTTGAAACTACTGCTTCCAAGATGGTCGCTATCGCTACCGCCATCGAAAATGGAGAGAACATCGCGCAGCGAACGGGATTCCAGTTCTGCTCTCCACGCCGTGATGCCGAGACGATCGCCATGTCACAGATGAAACCCATGGAACTAGAAATGTACGAGATGTGGAGGGGATACAATAGTCTCTCTTCTCACGCTACTGCGACTACACCAACAAAACAGACAAACCCGCCATATACCCCTCCACCCTTTGACTGGGAGAAGAACCGCGCGGCGATCCCGAATGGAGCCCACAGTCTCAAGACATTCACCCAGCGCGCCGAAGCGATGGATATCACATGGAACCACCAGGGAGCTACACCGGAGCACGCGGCATGGTTGACTTACAATCTGCCGGAGCTGTTACCCCTCGTCAAAGCCGTGAGAAGGGTGCTCACGGCAGAGAAACAGGCGAAACTTGATCCGCTCTCCGGACTGACTCCGAGTGAATACGCAGAGGTACGGACTCTACAGAAGGTGGGTGCCATCAGCAACGAGAATGTACGGCGTGAGAAGGAGAGGATAAATCGTTTGATGAGGGGGATTCAGGAGATTATGGCCATTCTGAAGACACGGGCTGATGTGATGGAGGCTAGGCTGATTGCCAAGGGGATAGAGATTCCGCCTAATAGTAAACACTAGGAATGCCTAGGTATAATGAGGATCGTACTCGCAATACAAGGATCGTCAGGCATTGACAGCGAGAGTCACCACTCAGACTGGCCTAACCGCATATGGCACTTGCTAGAGCTCGCGTTCCACGAGGCTATTCCGCTTTCTGTTTCCTCCTGATCGCCGTCAGCATCTTATTTTACCTAAATTTCAGTGACTGTCGGTGGTTTAGGGGTTCTTTCTGAATCTTTTTACTCTGTACAAATGATAAATATGATGATAAATATTTACTGCTAGGCCTTGCTGCCTACTGGTTGCACAGTGATCCTGTAGCTTGGTGCAGATACGACGATGGCCTAGAGGATAAGTATCAGGTATCTATCGGTCAGCTCGGAACCTCGTATCTTCATCCACATGATCATTGAACGCTACACAAAGGAGTACGGAGAGCAATTTGATACTACTCTGTACATTTGTGCTAGGCTCATACCGGCAACCGAACGATAAGTAAAATGAGCTAGAATCCCCCCCCCCCTTCAGGGTCCAACCGAACAGTGGCGGATAAGAATCGGACGGCTTCCGTGTCTGGTTTTACGGCTAGGGACCTCGATATTCTAAGACACAAATTCCAAACAAGGACAGAGTCATTTATTTTCCTTCTTTTTTTATTACAAATAGCTAATATATCTGTCTTGCAGTAATTAATTGACCCGACTCTTTTTCCAGATAGGTACCTGCCAACTAATTATAAGTACTAGGTAGTCCACTTGCTACCAACTAGTGCTGTAAACTGACATCACAGGCGATGGATTTGGCATAGAGCACCCGAATAGGTCTAGCCGTGGTGTCGGACTAACTCCTTCAGGCCATCCATGGTAGGACCCTGAATTTGCCCAATTGGGCCGAGCGCACATCCTGACCACGGTTGGACGCGACTTGCAGCCAATCAGACACGCGATTGAGAACCCACCAAGACCCAGTAAAAATGCCTGTTTGACCCTGGCACGGCGAACAGATCAAAAGCCGTTCGGGTTGTTTTCAATTAAGTACATACCCTAGTTATGGAGTATACCTTTGCCAGTATAATAGGTAAGACTACTAATATCTACTCATCTAATTTAATTTTCCATTCAGACAATATACTACATATTTGTACTCGTACCGTACTCCGTACTCCGAACTCCGTACTCCTATATAGTCGGAGCTAACCCGCCTGGGCCAACCTTGCGAAAAACCAGAAACACAAACACACGGGCGAGGCCCCTGGGTTGCCAACTGCGCTAGACCCTGCGGGGGGTTGCTTAAAAGTCCCTGGAATCCACCTTCAGCCGTCCTTGGGATCCGGCCCCCCATTTCTTTTTGTCTCCTCACCTCGTCCTTGTCCACACCCTCACTACGTTATTATACCGCATACTTCCCGTCGTCGTCTTTTTTTTTTTCTCAACGCTCTTTTTTTCTCTATAAGGATAAATCCATTGAAGTACTATGCTACCGGCTGCCTTCGTGTTCACCTTTTGATCCGTTTCCTCGCCGTGTTGCTAGCAGAGGACGGACATTGCCGACCATGTCCGCCCGGGGACGATCGGTCGGTCGCTCTCTGCTCAGGCTGCTGCTCGCTGTCTTTCTCGCTCCCATTGTGACGGGCGTGTCGGCTCAGATCTGTTCTTTCTGGGATGCCACTTGTATCGATCCTCTCGCTCAGACCGCCGTCTCGGTGGGTTTTGAGCCGCTCTTCCCAGACCCGGTGACCTTCTACTATGGCTTCGACGCGACCTCCCAGAGCAACGGCGTGCCCATGACCAAAGCCAGCTACTGGCTCCGATATTCTTCCAACTACCTCGCCCCCTCGGCCATCGATGCCAACCGTACCTCCGAGGTCGCCCTACGCGTCGGCAACTTGACAGGGCAGCCCTGGGGACCGAACAATGGCTGTGATGGCGTGTGGGGACCTGAGTGCTCGAGCAACCTTAAGGCGGCCATCCAGGCTAATATGTTCACCCTCTTCACCTCGGGACAATACTACCAGAACCCTCTGTCGACTGTGCTGGACCAGTTCCTCTCTTCATCCTCGCCGGTCGCTGGATGTCCCCATTCGATGTTCCAGGTCCAGGCCATCCCCGCCAATTGTATGCCTTCCACGTTCACTTTATTATTATTTTTTTTTTTGCTCTATGGTGTGTTGAGTGTTTTACTGACTCTTCAGCATTTGCCCAGGAAACCGTCACCGATCAAGCCGTCACCGTCGAGACGCCTGGAAGCAGCATCACCCCCTGGAAGACTTGGTTTCTGAGCAACATGACAGCCAGTCAGCAGGCACAGCAGGTTGCCGTGGCCTTCATCAGCCGGTGTCCCAGCTTCGGTGACCAGCCCGAAATCACAGAAAGCGATATCCAGATCGAGTTGGTCTGTCTGAAAGCCCCATCGGGGAGAGGCGGCCATCCGGCGCCCGCAGGCTTTGGCGGCGGTTAAACCATTCAGAAGTTGCTATCGACAAGTTCAAAAACAAACGGCTCATGGATTTTTAGCATTTTCCGGCCAGACAGGACTTTTCATTTCCAACAAATAATCGACCCCTGATCCAACGCCGCGACTCGCACGGAACCCTGATACTCCGTGCTACTGCAAAGCTCCGTGGCATTGCTCATTCTAACTGAGCAGTCTAGCATCATCACGATAAAAATACATCGATGATTAATCTGGCGGACCAGATACATCCACAGGACCAAGGCCGCTACAAAGTCGGCCAACTCATATCAATGGGTTTCAAATCCCCCGGTCCCCGGAAATCCTGCAGGATTTCCGCCTGCTCGCTGAGCATATGCCGGTCGGTTTGGACACCGAGTTTCGCCAACCCTCGCCACCGCTCGAAATCGGCCGGGTTGCGCTTGTCGCCGTGTGCCATCTCTGCATTCTCCCAGTGGCCCTTGGAGAAGCCAATCAAGGTGCTGATCCGCCCGTTAGGGATATCGTACACCATCGAGCAGATGGTGCCCGTCTCCTCGAGCCAGCTGCACTGCCACAGCTCGCCGGGCCGGACGCACTGGTACGTGGCCGTCTGGAAGTTACGGCGCCCGGCCATCGGCCCGCCGTGAATGGCGTACACGATGCGATCCTCGTTGAAGAACCACATTTCGTACCGCCATTTCTCTGGGTTCCCCGCCGCGTCGTGCGCTGCATAGTCGTAGATGAGATGCCGGTCGCGGATGTCCGCGTCGAAGGAGGAATTCTCCAATGATGGAAGAACAGGCATTTTTCAACACTCGTTTGAATACGAAGTATAGAACTTTGAAAATAAACGGATTCAAAGACAATGCATATATCTACGTATCTACCTTATATCTCTATATATTGAGAAGTATAACCTCGCATCTCGTTGTGGTCTGCAGACTGCAACGTATGACGCCATGACTGTCCACCGCGAACAGATGACATTTCTTTAGACATCTTGAACTCTCAATGTATGCTTTATAATATTTTTAAGCATCTTCCTGTTAGATGAAGGATGCTTTAGTGCCTTGCCTATACAGAGTATTTATCTACTCGCAGGCATCCACTATAAAGAATTCAATAATACCTGTATTAGCAGAACTAGATGGTTTAATTAATTTCTGGATTTTAAACAATGTATTCGTCTTCACTCACTCACTATCTACTAACCTGCATATCTAGGCTTGTGGACTTGGTAGTACTGTACTGTCCATCATTCGACAATGTGTCACTGTACACTCATATATTAAACCCTCTTCAATTTATGATTTATAAGGTAAATCAGACAAAAATTCTATTAACACAATCCATTGACCACAGCGAGCCATCAACCCACGTGCTGTGTCCTGCCTGATATTCCTGCCTGGCATCCAAGGCATCCATGCAGGTCAACAAACCCCTACGGTGTAAACAGCTTCATCGACTGCCTCCTGTCCTCCTCACGACCCGGTGAGGCCATCTCGCTCGGTCAATTCCTTCTCACAAGTGCTAAACATGGTGATCCAGGCTGTTCTGGCGAGTTTTGGCTCGCTTTCCACGACTCTGGTGGGCGCGTCAGCTCTGCCTGGTGTGTCCTCGTATGTGGCTGACGCGGGGTTTCCAACCAGTGCTTTTTCGTACGTCTTTTTCTTTTTTTATTCACTTATCATCCCCCCCCCCCTGGTGTCTTTGATAATAACTGTGTAGACAGCTCGTATTACTATTCTCCGGCCCAACCAACCCAGGAACCACAGCCGGTGATATATGACCCGGTGCTGAATTACACGTTCCCTCACAACCTGACCGATCCCGAGACCATTCCCGAGGAGAACGTCGATGACCCGGTGCTGTTCCCACCGCCGGTTGCGAATCTGTCGGCGAGTCAGAAGCGGAGTCTTGTCGACGCCGTCGTGGCTAATGTCACCCGGATCATTGTCGAGACCAACGCCACGGAGAGCAGCTGTGCGAGATGTATGAACGCGCTCGCTGCGGCCAAGCCGGCAGCGCTGTATGCCCCGGAGCTTGTTCCCGAGACTCTCGTTTCGCTGTGCAAGCAGTACGCGCTGCATTCCAATGCGACGTGTGAAGAGGACTTTGCCGCGTCGACGTTCGGCGCCGCCTGGACGCAGGTGCTGGCGTATGCAGACGTCCAGGGGCTCGACGGGCAGTACATGTGCTGGTCGATCAGCAAGTCGTTCTGTGCGGAACCGACGACACAGCCGCTGGACACGACAAAGCTATTTCCCAAGCCGAAACCCGCGAATGCGACGGTGCCCCCGCCCAGCGGCAAGCGGGTGAAAGTGCTACACATGTCCGATCTGCACCTGGATGCACGGTACGCCGTGGGAGCCGAGGCCAACTGCTCGTCGGGCCTGTGCTGCCGCACCAACAACTTCAACCGGGCGTCGCCGGGGGAGCCACTTCTCCCGGCGAACGCCTACGGCGGGTTCCAATGCGATACTCCCTACGACCTGGGTCTCGCGGCTTTGCAGGCCGTCGGCCCGCTGACGGGGACCGGAAAGGGCGACGACGAGGAGTCGCTGGCCTGGACGGTGTACACGGGCGACTTGGTGTCGCATGACCCGCAGTCCGAGCTGTCACAGGCGTACACCATGTACGCCGAGACCAGCGTCTATGGCATGTTCAAGCACTTCCTCACGGGCCCGGTGTTTGCGGCGCTGGGCAACCACGACACCAGCCCGGAGAACCTGGACTCTCCGCATAACATGCCGGGCCCGTTGGGTCAGCAGCAGAGCTGGAACTACGACCACGTCGCGGGCTTGTGGCTGCATGAAGGATGGATCAGTCCCGACGCTGCGAGACAGGCCCGTACGCATTACGGCGGGTACTCTGTCAAAACTCACTACGGCCTACGAATCATTGCATTCAACACAGGTATTCTTTTTTTTTTTTCCCCTCTCCTCTCTTATGTTCTCTTCTATTCTATTTGCAAACTTGGTTCTCATGGACAGACCTCTGGTACAAAGGGAACATCTTCAACTTCATCAACTCGACCGACGCAGACAACTCGGGCGTCTTCTCCTGGATGATCTCCGAGCTGCAGAGCGCCGAAGACGCCGGCGAACGCGTCTGGATCATCGGCCACGTCCTCAGCGGTTGGGACGGGACCAACCCGCTGCCCAACCCGACAAACCTCTTCTACCAGATCGTAGCCCGGTACGCTCCGCACGTCATCGCCAACATCCTCTGGGGCCACACGCACGAAGACCACATCCTACTCTACTACTCGCACAACGGGACCGTGCGGGACGACGCCCACGCCCTGGCCACCGCATGGATCGGCCCCAGCGTCACCCCGCTGACGAACCTGAACAGCGGCTTCCGTCTGTACGAGGTCGACACGGGCGATTTCCAGATCTACAATGCCTACACGTTTTTCAGCAATGTGTCGGAGTATGATGATCATGTCTTCCTACCGAATGCCACCGCCTCCACAGGCCCGACCTTTCAGATCGAATATTCCACACGAGACACGTACGGACATGCGGCTTCCTGGTCACACGCCGATCCCCTCAACGCCACCTTCTGGCACCGCGTCACCGAGGCCATGGAGCGGGATGCCAACCTTGTCTCCCTGCAGAATACCCTGCAGGGCAAACGGAGCGTCTTGAGTCCCAACTGTACCGACTCTTTCTGTCAGGAGGCAAAGATCTGTTATATGCGGAGTGGGAGTGTGGCACTCGGGAGCCAGTGTCGTCAGGGGTGAGCAATATACACCCTCTCTTTTACCTATGTCTACTAACATCTGCTAGGTATGGATCGGTGCAAAGTGCTTTTAAGCCATAGAGATAAGAATAGAATAAACTATAATTAATTATCATACTTCTCCACTATTAGTATATTCCTAATCATATCCACCAACCGACAAGTATAAGATAAACAATCATTACTCCAACCAAGACTGCCCCCACCCCTTTTTGGTCATAATACATGCCATACATCCATCCAGGCACTCCAATAAACGCCTACAACCATAACATAACTCATACATTGAGACATTAGGTAGTTTACCTAATGAGAAGCATTCATCCAGGTTCTGCAGGTCCAGCTCAATAGCTCAGATGTGGTTTTAAAATCACTGATCATCAAGTACTGAGTCAGTACCTAGTTTGCCAGGTTATCTAAACCTGAGCCATGTTGGGACGTCTGCGACCACCTCGCAGGTTGACGCCCGTGGAGCGGCTGGCGAAGATGGACAGGATGAGCGAGGCGGTAAACCCGGCCCAAGCGAACCAGAGGAAAGCCGTCGAGGCCTGCGCTTCACGGCAACGCTTGTGTGTGTTATGGGCACCGTTGGTAATTTCATTTGTGGTGGTGTACGTCTATCGCCATTAGTAAGGAGAAACGATTTCAGGAAAAGAGAAGTGAAGGGGAAGTACGCTGTTGTTGCAGCTATGGGCGCCCAGCTTGGCGGCCAGAGCGACGGCAGCGGTGAAGAAGAAGATCGTATTGAGAGCGTCAAGAGCGATCAGGATGATCGGGTGGATGGCCCAGTCCGGGTTCCACGAGGCAGGGACGAGGTAGAGCAGCGAGAGCAGCCCAAACGCCGAGACGAACATGGCGTAGTTGACCGTCGCCGGGTTTCCAGAAAAGGCGCTGGCAATCATATTCCCGACGAGAGCCATGATGAGAAGAGTCCATAGGAACTATTCTGTCAGTCCTACAGAGAACCCGAGAATCTAGGGATCCCTCTTGGAGACAACGTACCTCCCAGGCACGCAGGCCCAACTGAACTCCTCGAGACATGATGAATCTGTAAGTATTCGATACTGCAAAGCTCGTGTAAGCCCAGACAACGTGTGAAGCGCGTGGATCGTGTGCAGAATCGACAGGATCCGCAGGCAGGGTCTGGATCAAGGGATGCTTTATGTGCGGAATGGTCGGACGACAGATGACGATATGTGCCCGAAATCGGCTACGTCATCGGTAGCTCTTCAGGAATCCGGTCACCAACGATGATATAAGGAGCTTAAAACACTGACGATTACCTGGGTAGACATACTGTAAACCGTCTAGGTATATATATATATATAAGAAATTAATTAAGTAAGAACTCCTACGCGCCTTCTTCAACGAATCTAGCAGCCTGGCCTGTTCAGCGGTTGCCCAGGAAGCGCCAGCGTTACCCTCGAGGCTTCTCACCACAGCGTTCGTTCCGCGCGTATCCGACATGAAACGCAGATGCCGTCAGTGACCGCTGGGGAGGGACTGCTGCATGCGGTGATGGGTGGGAGTCGATTGGGTAGACTGATTATTCATGAGCTAGTAAATCCAATGACATTCAGGAATAGTATGCAGTAGAATAAGCATAATAGAGCCAATAGAGTTAATTCTAGCCAGCTGCTATTGGTATGCAGAAGTCATAACCATAGCCTGTTTTAATGCGAGTAGTAAGGAGAGTCTTCGCCATATTAAACACAATAGTTGATATCTTCTCATCAAACTAGTCAGAATCGCGGAATTCCTCTCCTCTTTACTCCAGACACAATCGATGCGGTTAACACTCCCGCCGAGGTCGCGATCAAAAGAACATTGCGCAGACATCTCAGCATCCGGTCTTTACTGTACCTCTCCAGCGTTTTCTGGAAAGCGGAAAAGTCATTGGCTCTGGGGAAAGGTTCGTCGGGCACCGGTCGATCCAGAAACTGTTCAACAGATGAGCTTTAGGGGGAAAAAGGGGGGGCAAAAGATAGGGAAAGGGAAAGACATACACTGCAAATGGGCTCCCAGCCATCCTCGACTGTCCACTCCAGCAATCGGTCCTTGGAGACCATTCCACGAATGGTATTGCAGTGGTCACGATAGACCCATTTACCATTGCGCTCAATGCCATCCTTGGCGCTTCCATTGATGCTACGGAAAAATGGGGGAAACCCGTACTTGAAGTATATTTCCCAGAGCCAGTGGACATCCGCGCAGAAGATATGCAGGACCCAGAGAACCCAGGAATGGTACCCCCGACGCACATGTGCCTTGGTGATGCTCTGATGCCACTTGTCGAGGTCTCGGCGGGTGTTGAGAATCACCTTGGCGTCCGGGTAGGCTTCGATGAGCTCCACCGCGAAGAAAGAAGAGACCGTGTCGATAACTGCCTCACTGTGCCCGATCAGGACATCGAATTCACTGCTGGTGATGTGAACGTCGCCGTCGGGGGCACCGTCGTATTTTCGTCTTAGCAGATTCCAGCAATGTTGGATCTGGGCGCCGTCTTGCTCAAACACCAGGTCCCAGCCATGATACGTTTCCAGCCCGAGTTTCTGAAGGCCACAACTGAGAGCCTCAGTCGCAGATCTAGGCAGTCCTACGCAAATCACCTGCAGAGGTTTGGTGCGGATCCGGGGGGAGGGCTCCGGGAACCCGTAGAAGAGCCTTTTGAGTGCAAACATGGTGTACTCTGTATTGAAGATTTTCTAATGAAGTCATAGTGTCAATAAACCTTCCAAGACCAAATCCTGGTGATATATAAGCTCTAGCGATCAATAATCTGGCGATGAATGCAAGACGCAAGGCGCGTGCCACCATCATATTTAGGCCTCCAATCATGTCTTTTTCTTCCTCGTGTCTAGACAGGTCATTTAGTTGAACCTCTCCCAATAAACCGTGAAGAATACAGGAATTAAACCGTTGATCAGGCGGAGAGATTGCCGTCAAATTCCATCGGGTGGTGGGAACATTGGTGGACACTTGCAAGCTTGTCTTCACCATTAGAATGACTTGAGCACACAAGACACAAAATCAGATCTTTGGATCGAGGTTCATAAAGCCCTGGCATTGTCAACAAGATCTCACCAGCTCTCGTAAGAAAAAAAACCATCAAATCTGGATGACAGTTACGATCTTCCACTCCCAGAACCAGGGATAGTCAGCAGCGTCTGTGCTACCCGAGTCATGCTCAGTCACGACAGCCACCGAGAGACAGAGGTGTCAGAAGGGTTAATTCCATCACAACTCAATATTTCAACGGCTCTGTCAAAGGTGAACGTGCTTGAGCTTTGAAGTCTTAAGGTAAAGGTAGCAGTGGTGGGGCAGGGGAAGCCCCTCGCGCGGCCCGGGCAATTTCTCAAGCATCTCCAGCCAAAAGATTGTTGGTGGCCTCTTGACACCACAACACCCTGATCCCATTCCCCCTCCTCCGCTCTCGACATTGCTCACCTTTACCCAGCATGGCTATCAAGTGAGAATGCCGTGGCCTACCCCATGCAAGGAATACCGTGACTGACTGGTCTAGCTACTTGATTTTACTGTCGCGGCAGGGCAAAGTGGTACGTTCCTCGTGGCCCACCCAGATCGATATTCCGCCCAAGTGGAACTACACAAGACTGACATTTTTTCTCTGTGTTTTTTTTCTTTTCTTCCCTTGCAGCGCCTGGCAAAATGGTTCACGACGCTTTCTCCCAAGGAGAAGGCTAAGATTATCAAAGATGTGACGCAGCTGGTTCTGTCCCGCCGGACACGCATGTGCAACTTCCTAGAATACAAAGGTAAACGACAGTCAATTAACCCCCTCTCCGCGGAGAGGGGTCGCTATGATTTCGACGCTGACCAAATAGACTCCAAGGTTGTTTACCGACGCTATGCCTCCCTCTTCTTCATCGCCGGCTGCGCCTCGACGGATAACGAGTTGATCACCCTGGAGGTCGTCCACCGCTACGTGGAGCAGATGGATAAATACTATGGCAACGTGTGTGAACTGGACATCATCTTCAACTTCCAAAAGGCATACTTCATCCTCGACGAGCTCCTCCTGGCCGGGGAGATGCAGGAGAGCAGCAAGAAGAATGTCCTTCGGGTCATCAGCCAACAGGACAGCTTGGAAGATATGGAGGTGAGTGGCATGGTGGACCAGCGGATGGAGAACGACCACGGCTTGCTAACCCCTGCAGGTGGATGAGGATGTGGTCACGAAGATCATGTAGCCGACTGGTCGGCAAGCGTTTCTCGGCGGGATCATCCGTTTTCTGTTTCTCGTGTCAGATATGGGGCAATTGTGGTTCACGGAGTTTGGAAGCACATAGGGCGTTTTCTCTTTTTATTCTGCTATTACTGTTCTTCTTTTTTTTTTTGGTGGAGAGAGCACCGGGTTCCATCCGGTACGACTAATTAATACCACGTTGACTGTTCAGGACACAGCAGTGCACACCACTGTTCTCTTTCCTTTCCCGATTCCGCGCTCCTCTACGCGCCTTGGAACCTGATACTGTGGATGGGAAGCCAAAGAATTATTGGAACTCTCTGGAGATCGTCTCTCTGCCCAGAGGGCTGATCGTCTCCCGACCCGTGAAGTCACCGCGGCATCTCACTGGCCGGTCGCGGAAAACCACGTGACCCGAGTCGCAACGCGCAGCGCCTGGGCGAGGCCCCCCCATCATCGCCGTTGCCGGATCGCCGTCATCACTACACCTGCGTATCTCCCCTTCCTTTCATCTATTGACATCCCATCCTCATCGTCTTTTCATTCTGTCTAGCACCCGCTTGATCGCCAGGAACGGTGCCGGCTTTTTGTCTCATTTCTTTATCCACCAGTCTCCTTTGTGTAGTCGTTGGCTGGCCCTGGGCTCCTTATCGCCGATCGGCTGCCACCTCACCCTAGTGACAACGAGCCAACCTGACCGACATTCACTACACCCCAGCATAACCGTGGGCGGATTTTTTCCAGACAAGAAATTCTTTTGGAAGACGTCGCCTACTACGCCTCGTGTTTCTACCTCCCATCTCGCGACTCTGCTGCACACCGCTTATCGTATGATCCCGCTTATCTTCTACGACTCTGTCCAAGATGAAAGTGAGATTTGAGCATAGAAATGCTTCACCGTCTTTTTCGTCGTCTGAACTTGTTGTGTGCTTACGCTGGTCTCTCTCTTAGTTTCTTCCTATTCCGGAGTTCGAAGATGTCACGACGTCGCTCAATTTCGACACGGCAGACTGCCATATTGTTGGAGGGTGTGATCTCTACACGACCAAGGCGGCTCGCGCCGATCGCAAACTGTACAAGAACATCGAGCAGTCGCTGGAATCCCAGTACGAGTCTGTGCTGCGTCTCTCTGCCTCGTTGTCGCCGCCGAACGCGACCGATGCCGCCGCGTCGCTGAACCTGTCTCGGTCGAGTCCTTTTGGCCCCCTGAGCGACCACTCGAGTCGACGGACATTTGCCTACCTGATCGCGACCCTGAATGCGAGTCATTCAGATTATGATTTCTCGCATGTCTTGCGGCCGTCGGACTTCCACCGTGAGAGGAACTTGAAGAAAGTGATGAACAACATCGACACGACGCTATTCAACCTGCGGCCCCGCGAGCGGATCGACGTGACGCCGCCCTCCCCGGTGACAGTGTCCGGATCATACAATTCGAGCGCCTCGGCAACCTGGGGCCCGAGGATGTGGCGCCTGGTGGATCAGCAGATGGAGCTGAACGAGTGCTCGATCTACTCGTACTCGCCCGAGGAGGATCCGTCCGACGCGGACGACGGCGCGATCTGGAGCCTGCACTACTTCTTCTTCAACCGGCTGCGGAAACGCGTCTGTTACCTATATCTCCGCGCCATCCCCATCCTGAGCCATACGCCGCCCGACCGGATGGCCACGCCGACCGGCAAGCGGACCTACGAGGAGGGCTACCTGACACCCGACCTGAGCTCGGGCAAACGCGCTCGCTACTGGCTTGGCGAGCGGTCCAATCTCATCCGGCAGGACAGCGAAAGCGACGAGGAGCCGGAGTCGTCGATGCCCCGAATGATCGAAGATTCAGACCACTACCTGCTCAGTGACGAGGAGTTCCGCTCGCGATCCGTGAGTAAAGGCACTGTCCGTGCAATGAGCGAGGAGATTGCCGACTCAATGGAGGTCTAAGACCTTTTTTTTTTATCCCACTTCGAAAGACCTCTTCTTTTCATCTCATTTCGTTTCTTGTTTTATTCTATTCTTTTATTTTCCTTTTTCTTCCTCTTTTTTCCCCGCTTCGATTCTTTCCCCGTTGCTTACTGGATTTTCCTAATACTTTTTTTTTTCAACTTCTGTTGATTGTTGACTACAATGGACGTTTAGTCCATGGTGGCGTTGGTTGTCTGATTGATGCATTTTTCAGCGGCGGGTGGGCGTTTCGTGACCGGTGAGAGCGGTATTCGCCCGTTCGCCTGATGTCTCTTGTCTCGACTTGTTCCCAGTCTGATATCCTTTTTTTTTTTCTTCTTCTTTCGTCTTTCCACATGCGTGCCGTGTGCTCTGTGCTATGTGCTCTGTTTTTGCACTTACGAATGACGCCCGTATATCCCGGTTCTCGGTTGCGGCGTTGGAGATGTCATGGACATCTTATCTTGACGATGTAGTCTATAATGAACATACAACTTTTTGATTTCACTGGCTGTCTTGGAATTCCTAGATGCGTGGAACCACGCGATGACGTTGAGTCATGACTATGACACTATTCAGCTTTCACTGTAGATGGCTCAGCCAGCAGGGATCACTTCAAGAGGACGATCTTTTCTGCTGGCTAGTCAATGGCATTGAACAAGCTGTCTCTACAAGTAGCCACCTCGTATCGTATTTAGTTGTACTCCGTATATGGGTATCAAGAGGGACAACGAGTAAGAGAAAAGTGAAAATAAGCAGATATAAGGCCAGAGAAGCTAGGCTAGAAGGGGTAAGTAGAGGTGGTTTTAAGTAGATGCCTTAGGAACCTACGCAACTACCTAATTTTCCTTCTTTTCATTCAACTTACAGCTCACAGTGAAAGCCTCACGTCGACGACGAAAAGCAGCCAGGGAGGAGCAAATACAGATCTCCATCAGAAGGTCAAAACAGAGAGAGGCGTTTTCATCGGTCAGACGCCGGATAAGAAGCCTCCTGCAGACAGAATGATGCAGAGAATACGATGAGATAGGAAGAAGCCTGAGATGAGGGGAGGAAGTCGTTAAGATAGGAAAGACCGTTGGAAAGAGGGAACTGTACATGGTCATGGATAGTGTGTCGGAGCTGCGATTCATTCCATTTGATTTAGACCAGGTTGCTAACCATTTCCAGCTCTTTCACACGAACTACCTCGGTGCTGTCTTTCGTCTCTGGGCCGTCGATGAGTTTTGAGTTGGCTAACAGGCCGTGAGTCTGGTACGTCCGGAACTTTCTGGTGGGTAGTTTGGCGTGGAACATCTCGTCAAGCTCCTCGAGCGAGCGATTCTTGAGCTCCGGCACAACAAAGAAGACAAAGACGACGGCGACGACGGAGAAGGAGCCGTAGATGAAGGCGACGTTGCCGCCAATGGCATCCTGGACGTAAGGGTTGACAAAAGTGATGACCAGTCCGGAGGCATACGAGCCCAGCGCGCCGACAGACACGGTCTTCTCGCGGAGCTGCGCGGTGGGGGCTTCGGAGCAGATGACCCAGGCGAGCGGACCCCAGGTGCCTTGGAAGCTGAAGAACCAGATCACCAGCAAAGCAATGGCGGCGTGTTGCATGCTCAGCGAGATATTTGCCGTGCCGTGCGTCGCCAGACCACCGATGGAGAGCATACAGATCGCCTGTACGCCTGCCGAGACAAGCAGGGTTGGCCGTCGCCCGAGCCGGTCGTTGGTGTACAGACTGATAATGTTCGAGACGCAGCCGGCAGCATAGATGATGACCAGGATGAGAAGCACACTGTCGAACCCTAACTGCTCCATGAAAGTGCCGAGGTAGTTGGATATAAATGAAATCCCCTGTGCCTGCTGCAGCGCCTGCGGGCCAATACAGATAATCGTGCGCCGCAGGTTCGTGCCCCGGAAGCAGTCGAGGTAGGAGCTGGCTGCGTGCAGGGTCTTCTCCTCCTCCAGCTGTGCCTGCAGCTGCAAGACCTCGGCGTCCTCGTCGACGACGCCCCTGCGCAACGTGCGGACAACGGCGCGCGCCTCGTCCAGCCGACCTTGGCGGATCAGCCAGCGCGGCGACTCGGGCAGCAGGAACAGGCCACAGGCCATCATCGCGGGCATGAGCAGCTGGCACACAATGACGGTACGGAAGGCCCACTCGTTTTCCAGCGACCGGCACAGGAAAACGATCAGACAGGCCAGGAACCCACCCCACATGAGGAAGATGTTGTATCCCGCCGACATGAGGCCGCGCAGATGCGGCGGCGCGCACTCAGCCTGGTAGACGGGCACGACGTTGGCCGCCAGCCCGCCCCCGAAATAGACGACCATGCGGCCGACAATCAGCTGGACGTATCGGTTCCCACTGGTAGCCTCGATGATCACGCCGACAACCACGGTCAACGCCTGGATTAACATCGTCATCCGTCGGCCTAGCCGCTCGTTGATCGGCGTACCCACGAACAACCCCGCGATCACTGCCGCTGTCGCTGTCCCGGAACCGATCGATTCCTGTACCGAGCTCATGGCGTACGCGCCCGTCACCGCGTCGTACTTCCCATATGCACGAGCAAACTGCGATGTACTCAGCACGCCCGACCACCAGCCCAGATCAAACCCATACCCGGCTGCGCCCATGGAGCCGAAGACAGTGACGATAGCGAGGACCGAGTTAAGATCGCGCCAGGGCGATAGAGACCCTGCCTTGGGAGAGGAAGCACCACTCATGGCTGACGAGTCCTGTACTTCAAGCGTCGAGAGGGGCTAGAAGAGAAAGCAACAAGGGAGAGAATATCAAAATGAACAAAAAGCCACAGGAGTTCGGGCAAGTTCTTATACTAACTACAAGCTACGAACGAGTTAAATAACGACTATCTAAGGACTAACTAACTGGTAGTTAACTAACTACTAACTATGGACCAGCCACGAACGGAAGAATCAAGGCAACCAGTCTGTTCATCCGGGCCTATATCTCAACCTGCGCAATGCTACGTCTACCTTCTTCAACCACTCCACTCACAATCTACACATGGGGGGAGCCTGTTTGATCCAGTGGAGCTACGCCCTTTGTCTCCGCTCTCCAGTCTCCAGACCCCGGACCCCGGATTTCTGTATTGAGAAGTAGGTTGGGAAATCCCCAGGATTTGTCCGAGGTTTACCCGGACGGCATAGTCGAGGATTTAGCGCAATACCCTCAAGGCCGAGAGAGAAGATGCCCGCCATTCCGGCATATCTGGGACTCTATATGACAAGGTTCTAGCATAGCGTGAAGCCTGGGAAAATAAGACATGAACTTTCTGGGGAAGGGGAATCACTTCTTTCTTCTGTATCAAGGTTCGAAGATCCCGGAAGGCCACCTCAACGACTGACTCATGAACCCCCTTTTACTGCGGATACGACGTGATTATGCAGGATGGTCGTGGAAGGCGCCGTCTTGACCTCTACGGCTCATGGCTCGCTCTGGAACGGAGTTCGGACGATCCGTCCGATGGTTCTATCTAGAGCGCGGAAATAGCCCCCATCCATTTATATCACGGACTCCCCATCACTCTATCCCCACGTCCACAGATCTAAACTGGGATTCTCTGTGCCTCTAGGCGGGATGGAGAGATTGCCATGGTCTCTCAGTATTTCCACCTAGAGACGAGTAGGAAGTTGTATGAATAATAACTCACAGTTGACTAACTAGTTCCGGAGCACCTAGGGGTACTTATGCTGCTATTTATTGACTCTGTAGGGTCGAATAAGTACTTTTGAACACCCCTATGCAACATCACAACCGATCTATTGAAGGCTCAAAGCTCTTTAGGTATACTCCTTCCATCTTGCAACTGAACCATGGGGATTCCTACCATCTACTGGGCCCCAGAACCTATGAATATCCCGCTTGACCTGCTGGGATTGGAAAAGGGCCTCCATATGAGACGTACGGCTATCCCAAAGAGCACCGGCTACTTTGATTCTCTTGAAGATGTGTCCTCGTACGGGAGCTCGTACTTATTCACCACCTGTTCGGGAAAAATCTACAACTTCCCATCCATAAAGTTCGTCTTCCTGGCCAGCTGTCCGTCTTTGAGCTCGGTTCTTTAGTCTGAAGCCTGTCTGAAGCCTGGCGCGTATAATTTATATAGAAGTTTATTACAAAGTATCAAGAAGCAACTCCTGATATATAATACACCATGAAATATCCATTCTTAGCCAACATATCTAGAGCTCCAGCTTCTCCTTAAAAATCGCCTCTTGACTCAATATATTAATAATATACAGCTTTCATACCGTCGTAGACGAGCTGTCCTTATCAATGGGATAGCAAGGACAGGATGCTCTTCTGACTCTTATTTCCATAGTTTTATTCGCAAAAGAAACGAGACCTCATCGGTGTATACAAACCTTTATCCAGTAATCTTCAGACTATCCCATCAGACTCAATCTATAGGCTAGAGTCAAGTAGTTACATAGATAAAGCCAGATAGAGTGACGTCTGTTGTTTGCGGGAGTAACACCACGTGGTCCGTGCACAGCAGCGGAAAGCTGTCCTCGACCTTCCTCGGAGGGACACCAGCAACAAACGACACAGCCGTTGGTTTCTCCCCTCTCGCACACGACAATGGCTGACGAAGAAGAGCGCATCAAGGCGGAGAAGCTGGCTGCTGCCAAGAAGCGGGTGAGTTATTATCTCCTATCGCGTTGTTTTGAATGGAATGAATCCGTCCGGTTTTGTCACCAGCTAAACGAGAGTTTGTCGGGCGTAATAGGTGGCACAGCTGCAGAAACAGAAGAAAAAGGCGAAGAAGACCGCTGCGACCGAGTCACCCAAGGACACCGATGGAACGAAAGAGACACCGGCGACGCCGGGAGAGGAGCCGCCTGCGGAAACGCCAGCGACTGAGACCCAAGCTGAGCTTGAACCTGAATCAGTGACGGCCTCGACTTGTGAACCGGATTCAGCGCAAGTGCAAGCCGAAGAACAAGGAGAAGATGCAACAGCACCAGTAGCAGCACCGCCACCAGTACCACCAGCAGTGGGAGAGGAAGATAAGGAAGAAGAAGAAGAAGAACAACAAGAAGAAGGCAAAGATGGGACTGAAACAGTCGAGAAAGAGTCGGAACAAGAGGCACCCCTGGAACCCATGCCCGAGGCTCCCATCTCGCCCGATCTAGAGGGGGACCTTGAGTCCCTGAAGCTGGATACCCCACGAGCAGGAGGACATGGCCGGCAGCCATCACTATCGATCCAGTCGAAGATGCGGTCGTCGTCGTTCCGGAAAGCGTCCATCTCGCACGGTAGCAGTAGTGTGTCGCCGTCTTCTGCCTTGATCAAGTCCCCGTCACTACCGCCCTTGAACGCCGACGGGGAGACGGTGCATGAAGTCTTCCGCAAGCAGGTGATGCGGATCGAGGAGCTGGAGAAGGAGAACAAGCGTCTCGACAAGGAACTGGAGGACGTCAATGGTCGCTGGCGGAAGACGGAGGACCAGCTCGAGGATCTGAGGGAGGCGAGTGTGGATGTTGCGGAGCTGAAGGAGAAGCTGGAGAGAGCGGAACAGAAGGCTACAGAAGTCAATGCATTGGTGAGTAGGCACATGGTTATCTGTTTTTTTTTTTTTTTTTTACTATGGTTTGTTATCGAATTCTCTAACATGTCTGTAGAAAGCCGAGATCGCATCTCTGCAACGCCAGAACTCCCATCTTTCGACTAGATCGCATCGTAGCACAGCCAGTGTAGCGGTGGCGTCATTGGGAGCATCTGAATCGCCGCCGTCGGATCTGGTCCAGCAGCTGGAATCCAAGTCGGCAACCATCGAGGCTATGGAGCTTGAGATCTCGAACCTCCGGGCACAGCTTACATCACAGTCGTCTTCGAGTAACGCCCACGAGGCCCAGATCAGTGCTCTGGAAGACAAGCTCTCTCGAAGCGAGACGTCTCTAGAGAAGACCCAGCGGGAACTCGCAGACACGAAGCACTCGCTGACCCGGGCCGCGGAGAAGGCGATGAAGGAGGGAGTGGACAAGACCTCGACCGAAACGCTGATCAAGACGCTGCAGCGGGAGATCGAGGAGCTAAACCAACAGAAATCGGAGGGGGAAAAGAAGATCGACGCGCTGGACAAGAAACTCCAGGCCCTGGGCAACCTTCACAAGGAATCGGAAGCACGACACCAGGCCCGGCTACGGGAGAGCGAGAAGACAGAGAAAGAGGCGGCAGTGCTACGCAAGAAACTGGCAAGCATCGAGAACGAGAATCTCCGGCTGCGCGAAGAGCGCGAACGGCACAAGAAGCGCGACGCTATCGGTGCCGAAGACGAAGCGCTCGACGAACTCGAGGATGAGGAGCGGGCCCGACTCGAACGCCGGGTCCGTGAACTGGAGGGCGAGGTCTTCGATCTGCGCCGCGGTGTGTGGCGCGAAAGGCGCCAGGAGCTGGAAGCCACCCATCCAGAGGGCTTCACACCCCCCGGAGACCCGTCGAGCGCCTTTGACGACGTCGATCTCGTCGGCGGAGCGCCCGACCACTCCCGTCGCCGCAGCATGGCCCAGAACAACCCATTCTACCACCAAAACCAGCAGCATCAGCAGCAACATTCATCCTTTTCGGACGTCCTGTCCAGCGGCCTAGCGGCCTTTACGGGGACGAACCGTGCACGCGCACACTCGAACCAGCAACAGCACCCGCCCGCCACGCGTGGCAGTCTCGAGCTCCTGGCCGAGGAGAACCTGGACGACGAGTTCGACGAGGCGGAGTTTGCGCGCGCGCAGGCCGAGGAAGAGGCGCGCAAGCGCGTCGAGTGGGTGCGTGAGGTCAAGCGCAAGCTGAAAGATTGGAATGGTTGGCGGTTGGATCTGGTCGATAGTCGGGCTGGGGCGGAGGGCGCGGGTGTCGCCATGGGGGAGATTTTCGAAGTCTAGTTCTATACCATACATACCATTCACCAGCTACTATTTCTTCCTTTATTATTTACTGTAGCTTTGTACAATTTCCTACGGTTTTCTATCTACAGGAGTCATGATTTTTTGTGGAAGAGTAAGTAAGTAGAATGATAACCAAGATTTTACATACACAGTGCTTTATGCTGCCAAAATGCCGAATGCCGAATGCAAAATGCCAAAGAAAAGAGAAGAATAATCAATCGTCCGAATAAGGCCGCCCATTGAGTACTCCCTCCTGCTTTGCGCGGCGTCGGCGGCCGAGGATTCCTCCAACCCATCCGCTGAACTGGTACACCCAACCGCCTGTGACGAGGACGCCGGAGGCGGTGTTGATCAGTCGGATCAACAGGGCGAGGAGACTGCCACGCTCCTCACTGACGAGCAGCAGGATGGGCTCGATGTTGTACTTGAAGTAGATGCCCGGCACGTAGAAAGGGTTCTCCGGCAGGGCGCCGGACTGGGTCGTCGCGGCGTACTGGTTGGTGAAGACGATGTTCTTGTTCCGGTTGGTCTGCGCTGAGGGCGGCGCGGCCGAGTACGTGTCCAGGGCGCCTTGACCCTTGGAGTAGATGGTCGGCACGACGGAGAGGAAGTACTGAAACTTGTAGTAGTGGTCTTCCGTTGAGGCGATGGTCTTGTCCAGTGGGTTCAAGAGCGAGGGATAGTGCGGGCCAAAGGAAAGTTCGGTGATCATATGCGAGAAGTTGAATGCTATCCTAGTCAGTTGAATGAAAATGAAAACAGTGTGAAAAGTAGGTCTCACCCTGGTGGTCTAGATGCGCTCCCAATTCCGCATATCCATGCCCCCGGGCCGTGATGTGAAAGTCGCCCTGGACCTTGTTCCCCTCCAGACTGCCGTAGATGCGGCACGAGTCCTTCTTCTCTCCGCGACGCAGCTTGGGCGACTTGGGGAACTTCCTGCGAGGGTTCCGCCGCACCTCGCCCATGACATGGTGGGCGTGGGCATCCTCCTCCTGCGCCGCGAGACGGCCGGAATCCTCCTGGTTCAGCTTCTGGTACTCGTGCGAGCCGCCGTAGGTGTCCGTGTTGCGCTTGTCCATCCACAGCTTCCAGCTCGTGTCCTCCTTGGTGAGCATCTCTCCGGCAAGGATGCGGTCGCCCGCCGCGTCCTGGATGTTCACGCGCAGCGTGTCGCAGGGCATGTCCACCACCATGTCGAGATTCAGCTGCAGCTCATGCGACACCCCTTTCTCCACGCTGAAATGATGCATCTCCGTGCCCTGCATCCAGGTCCGGATCTCCGTGAACGACAGAAACGTGCAGATGGCCAAGACGATGACGGTCCATTGCCCGCCGCGGCTGGACGGGGCCGTGTACGAGGCTTTCGTTTTGGCTATTCATTCAAAAAGCAAGATCATCAGCAGGTGAGCAGGCGTGTGAGGGTAAATGACTCGGAGAGAAACTAATTCATACGGAATGCATCAAAGGTCCTCAAGCCTCCTTCTTCGCTGCCCGCTGTCTTCTCCCCAAACGCATCCTCGTTGAGGCCGTGGGCTGCGAACCCATTCATCGCGAATCGGATCGACACGCCAGATCAATGCATCAAGGGGACGACAAAGGAAGTGACTAGGTCGCAAAAAGCCCAATTGGAGCAACAGGAAAAGGAATGAAGGCGCACAGCGGGGAGAAAGAGGAAAGACAGCGCTGTCGGAACCGGGTGGCTGCGGTGCGGAGAAGCTCTCAGATGAGGCCAACTATTCGATTCCGAAACCTCCTCCTTCCCCCGCCCACCAGAACAGTGCGAGAGAACAAAGAACTGGACAAGCAGTGACAAAAGACTGAAAGGGTTGAATCAATCTCTTGACTACTGCTATATTAAATTTCCTTATTATCTATCAGTCTATCTAAAGCTAGTAGATAATGCTGTGTCAGCTACTACTGAATTCCCTCTAGTTAACTATATGCTGATAGTAGTAGTCAATGCCCAGTTATTCAACAGTTCAGGAGCAATATACAAGTGAAATCACATCGCTGCCCTCTTGATTGTTCCATCCCGTCATCCATGGCCCCTCAAGGGAGCCCTTCATCTCCACGAAGACCGACGCGGCCATCCACCGACATGTGGCCTGCCCGCCACCGTCAACGGACATAAGAAAAAGAATCAGAGTGGTAGAGATGCAAAAGATAGGGAGAGTTAGAGAGAGAGAATCCCCAAATCGACATTGGTACAGAGAGCAACGAAAGTGACCAGCGAGTCTTAACAAGCTGGCAAGGTCATAATAAACACACCGCAGAGACATTATAAGAGCCGCTGCATAAAAACAACATTCATCGGAAAATAAAGCACATGCAGATTCCAAGTAGGGTATATGAGATGAATCTTCTTCGCCATGGTTTCTGCCTCTTGCGCGTCCATTCCAAATCAACTCAATCATCATGCGGAACAGGAAACCGCGGGACATATCCGACCTGTCTATGCATCTTTAGTGATAGTAAAAAGGAAAAACAAATGAAATACCACAAGAAAACAATTATGATTACAGAATTAATGGGGGAAAAGAGGAAGAAAAAAAATAAGTAAATATGAAGTGTCGAACCGAGAAGGGTCTGTTTTTTCGGCTTATTTCGTCCTCTATCGCACCAGTCAGTAAATTGCTGTTCCGATGCCGTATGGTGTTCCCCTCCTCAGCAGGGTTGACCACCTACCAAGCTCGTCGCAGCCGCTGCTGTAGCGAGGTCAGGCTTGCCACTGATACTCCTGGTGGCTACACGGGGAAGACCAGTCCCGGAGACAGTCGTATGGGATGCTCGCTTGGCTGGCGTGGACGTAGGCATGCCGCTCACTGTTTGGCGTTTCGCAATAGTAGGCTTGCTCGGAGAGCTGCCGGAGACATCTCGGTTTCTAAAGGAACCGGCCTTAAGGCTCGTTGCTGGGGGCTCGGGGAGAGGCCGGGAGGCAGACGATGTGGTCGTCGTGGCATGGTATCGTTTGCTGGGAGAACTGGTCGAAAAGGTGTAGGTCCTTGACCTGACAGGGGCCTTGATTCCTGTTAGGAATTCGTGGCTCCCAGCATCGTGCGGTGTCAATCGACGCAGTGGGTCCCAGCGCAGACATCGCGCAATGAAATCCAGGAAAGCCTCGTCATCGCACTTGAGCACCTGTCTCAAGTCCTTGGAACTTGGCCGGCGGCGGCGACCCTTGGAGGAAACCGTCAATCGTGGTTTGCCCAACGAGTCGAAGAACAGTTTCTTGCGTGTACTCTTCTCGATGAGATGCTTCTCCGGAGGACCAAAGATTTCCATGATGCAAGCCAGTTGCTCCTGTTCGTTCTCACCGGGGAAGATTGGGTATCCTGTGTAGAGCTCGGCGAGAATACACCCCAAACTCCACATGTCGATGGGCATTCCATAGGACATGCCCAGAATGACCTCAGGGGAACGGTAGAATCGACTTTGGATGTATGTATATACCTTTTCGTTTTCGAAACAACTCGAGCCAAAGTCAATGACCTTGATCTCCGAGCTCAAGGGATGGACTAGGAGGATGTTCTCCGGCTTGAGATCGCAATGAATAACCTTCTTGGCGTGAAGAAGCGTCAGACAGCCCAGCATTTGTTTCGTGAAACGGCGAATCAGCTTAAGGTTGAAGCCCTTGAAGTCATGCGCTTTGGTGAACTCGTACAAGTTCATACCAAGCAGTTCGGTCGAGATGCAAAAATGACCTCGGAAGTAGAAACTCTGGGTAAAATTGACCACACTGTGGCGGCGATGGGGATCCTAGAGAAAAGAGACCAGGTTAGGATAAACTGAAAGAAAAGAATTCTCAAGACTGATGGCTAGTGATCCTTACCCATTCCTTCAGTTTCTGAAGGATATTGACTTCGACTATAGCCTGCTGGTGGAATCGCTTCTTGTTCCGAATGATTTTCACGGCAACCAAGGTTCCCGTCTTGTGGTCAATGCATCTCACGACTTGACCAAAGCTTCCTTTACCCAGAAGATCCACAACCTCATAACGGTAGGCAAGGTGGTCGCCGATCACGATATTGTAATCACCACGCTCATCATCATAGCCGAAATTGTATGACTGGGAGTGTAGGTCTCCGACATGCTTCTTGGCATTTTGAGTCCCACAGAAGTATATGTCTTTGAAATCAATGATCTCTCCACGTTCAAAGATATTTAGGTGCGCCATCTTGAGTGCCTGTGCAGGAGTGACACAGTCCTTCGGGACAGCCTTGCGGCGGAGCTCGTCCAGCCCCTTTGCAGCGACCTCGAACTCCTTTCGTTTGCTAGCCAGCCTCCTCATCTCTTCGTCGGCAACAATCTCGTCAGGCTCCGCGTTTGAATCTGTAGACCGTAATTTACTAGCTGCAGCACTGGATTTTGCGGAACTGATGATCTTGTGAACGGGAGAGAGCAGAGACCCAGAAAGACGAGGCGCAGGCTCGGCTGCCTTGGATTCATGTGCCGGGCTAGGGTGCAATGTAGGATTCTGGTCACCGCTGAAACTCGGCTTCCGTACGGCCGCGTTTGTGGCGCCGGATATCGACGATTGCCGTCGAGACTTCAGATACGTCGGTTTCAGAGTCGGGCTGATAGACTTGACTGTAGATAGGCTGTTCCAGGTAGCGGAAGCTGGTAATTTGGGGGGTGGCATGCTTTCGTACTTTGAAGCCACAGTCGAGCTTGCTTCTGGCTGGCTTTGGGGATTGCTCTGCTGTCGTGCCAAGTTCAGTTTGCTCCGGAGAGCTGAAGACCCAGTGCCCATACTTGTGTCGGGTTCTGACGGGGTGGAGATTTGACTTGGGGTTTCGGTCGCGGGTGAAGAGAAGGCGGACGTTTCGGTCTGAGGGCGCGGTCCCGTCAACCGTGATGGCTGCAGATGTTTCTGGCTATAATCACCGCTAACCTTCTGCTGCAGGAAGTGGTAGTCGCTATTGCTTTTCGGCAAAGTGTAGGAGATATATGGCGACATGGTGCGCCCTAGGTTGGATTGCTCAAAGGAGGCGAGGGCACTGGAGCTGCTTGCCGTCCGGAGGGCAGCCGAGGTGCTAATGCCAAAATGAGAGGTACTGCTTCTTATCTGGGCGAAGGGAATTGGGTCATCATCATCACTCGTAGACCAAAAGTTCGCTTTGGAAGCAGTCATTGGAGTGCTAGGGGTCTTTGAGAGAAACTGCGCGGATGGCGTATACGATTTCAAGTCATGGTGGTGGTCACGATCTTTGAGGGCTTCGATCTTGTTTGTCATGGGTGTACTCAGGGGCAATAGATTGAGAGGTGGTAGTTTGAGTGGCTGCAGATGCTTCTTCAGAACCGTCGCTGCTGGAGGTTTCGACTTCGCTTCAGGGGTCTTCAGATCGCCTCCGCTTGATATGTTCGCCAGCTCATCACCAATCGAACTCAAAGCCGTGTTGGCATCCGAATCCGAGTCTCGCGTGGTTTTCAGGAACCCAACATCAAGTGGTAAACTGGACTTTCGAGGAATAACCTGTGGGGGCGGAGGTTCAACGTCACCCTTTGGGGACTCGTATGCCTTGGGAATTGCCGGGACTGGCGGAACTTCTTCCTGATTTGATCCCCCACCGTGTTGTTCTGAACGAGGCTTGGGGGTGGGCAGCCTCGAAGTGGACAAGTTCTGAGACAGCCTTGGTTGTAAGGAGCTGCTAGAATTGCGCAGCGAATTGTAACTTGTGCTGGATGAGACCGACAGCCCTGAACTATAAGACTTGCGGTTCGGGTCGGGAGTTGTCCGAGACGAAGAAGGAGTGACGCTCTTCCGCGGGATATAAGAAGGAGATTGGGCGGACGACCGGGGGCGAACTGGGGCGGGCTCCGCCGTCTGGGTGGGAGGCGTATGGGGTAAAGGCGGCGCTGTTGGCGCCGTAGACAGACGCTTGAATCGTCTGGCATCCGTCGGACTGATTGTCCGTGCCCCCAGGCCATGTGCATGTGGCGGCATAACCGACACCCTTTTGGTAGATGAAGGGGTTGTTGCATCTGCCGGGTGGCTCTTCACTGGCGTACGTACCGCGTGATGGCCGTCCACATCCAATGCGGAAAGGAAGTTGTCCCGTGGCTCCCTTGAGAGCGGTTGCATTGACTTGGTCTTAAGACTTCGCAAATTCCGGGAGAAGTTTATCTCGTCTCCGTGATTCGGATCGAGGTTCTGCGTTTGCGATCGGGGCAGGGAGTGGGCCGACACATCGGCACTCGCTTTGCGCACAGTAAAGCTGGGTCGTCGGCTAGACACAATGGAGGACGGGCCGTTCAATGGCAATGAGCCGGGGCCGATTGATTTCCGCGGTGCTCTGGACGTAGGTGCTGCACTGGTGGAGGGAGTCTGAGCCAAGCTTTGCCGACGGTTTCGAGAGGTTGAAATCGTGGTTGACGCAGTCGACGTGAGGTGAGGCGGTACAGATCCTGGGGTGCCGTGCTGGCCGACAGGACGGGGAACCTCGCTTTTCCGTCGGACGGAGCCGCTTCTTGCCCTAGCAGATGTGCCATTTTGAGCGACGCTGTTCGCCCAAGGGTTCGTCGCGTGGAAAATTGGGGATGTGTCGTTGTCAACGCCAGTCTGTCCGTTGCTCGGGATCGGGAAGCGGTTGAGACCGGGCTCCTCCATGATGCTGTTGTGGAAGTCATCAAAACTGATGGGAGCGAGGAAATCCGCCGTGTCCGGAGGGGTCACGTTGGAGTCCAGCTTGGCGAGATTGCCCACGCTAGTGGATCGATAGCTGAAGTGTGAATTGATGCTCCGAGCCGAGTCGCTGGTAGAATCGACGGAGGAATTGACGGAGTGGAGGTATGAGCCGGACGGGTTACTACCGAGCGGTGATACAAATTAGCAATGCTGCCGCGCGGTGAACTGGCAGTGGAGAGAAGACGCAAGGGTTTATGGAGGCGGGGAACGCTGCTCAAACTGGCGGTAGCCATTTAAATTACCTTCTTCGAGTGGTCTCTTGTGGTCGAGGTCCTTGTGGCACCTTTTGGTCTCGGATGGATAACCTTCGCTTGCTCGCGACGCTGGAACGTGACCCAGGAACGGCCTTGCTTGAATGATGAGAGACGGGACTACTTGAGCTGAGATTGTTCGTGGAAGCTCGGTGTAATCTTCTTCGGGCGGGACCTTCAGCTGTTTCAAGTCGGGGGTAGATTAGCATCTCGTTGCCTGCAACTTCCCGGAGCCAGCCTCTCTCTCTCTCTCTCTCTCTCTCTCTCTCTCTCTCCCTGCCACAACATAACTATTGCTTACCTCCTGATCCTGAATCGTCGGTTCGGGATAAGTCCGAGGTCCTTGACTGCACCGCACGCGATTGTGAAGTCTGTTGGGAAGGCATCTTCGCGGGGGATTCTCAAATCTCATCGACGACGGAGTGAAATCTGGGGGATGGCTGGAAGGGACAAAGATCACCAGGCAAAAGCCAAATGCCACAAACTAGCCACAATGGCATTCACAAGCTGTAGCGGTGCGTAAAACCCTAAGCAAAAAAACCCTGACACTCTCAAGTCGCGCGACCGGGACCGTTGTCACCGATCCATTGCGGGGAGACAGGCGCCGCAGTTTCTGCTTGAGAAATCACCCAAGGTGATGCTGAGCGCGTCGGTACGAAAAACACAAATGACCGACCGCTTCCCCAGTGCTTCAACGCAAGGGAAATCAAGACACGAGGGCTGCCAGGCGCTGGGTTGAGAGGCGAGGTCCCGACCGCTTCTGCAGGATAGACGTTTAGGGAAAGTTGCCGCGTATATCCCCCGACCACACAGCCAAGGTAGGGGAGGGAAAGAGCCAGCAAAGGACTCGAGGATGGGCGGGAGAAACAGAGTTCCACGCACCGAAGACTGCCCAACAGCAGCAGGAGGGCTTCTTTGTTCTTGTGTTGTTTTTTTTTCCGACCCAGCAGAGCAAGAGGCCCAGTGTGGGTAAACAACAGGTGTTGACCTGGTGTCTTTCTTTCGACCGCTCAGTGCCTCCAACGGGGTTTAGTGCGTGCCCCTGGATCGCCGTTTTTTCCGCTGGGAACGAACAGCGGCCAGCTGCAAACAGCACAAACAGCGTAAACAGCGCAAACAGCCGCATCGGGGCTAGCAGGCCCCGTGACATGCTTATGTCATAGCATCGCGTGGAGCTAGGCAAAGCACTAGGCCCCGTGCGGACTAGTCGGCTCACTGGTAGCATGTGCGTGCGCTCAGAGGCAGTGAGGCACTCCTTCCAGACCGACTAAAAGCGATAGCTGAAGCCGGCGAGGTGCCGGAGTCTGTCACAACGCCGAAGAGAGCTGGTGAGACCAAGGAAGAGATGTCTTGAGGGAGTCTGGGGAGATACCCGCCATGGATGACCTTATCAGAGCGGAGAGCGTGGCCAGGCGCGAGGAGTCCGTTCCGGCCCTCGACGGGCATGGCCACCACGATGGTGAGCCTGGAGCAGTGGGCGGATACCGCCCGGGGAGCGTTCTCAAGGCAGTGATGGCTCGCTCGAGACGGAACTCGGTGGATTCGAAGAAGTCTGACTCGAGTGTGACGACGACATCCTTACAAGATCGCTTGTTTACCAAGTAGTTACTTGCCTCTCCGCCTTGTTCCCAAGCGAGATTGCTGATTGGTATATGGCAGGCTACTACAACAGATGATTCCTAGTGATGGGGCAGAGGATGGGGAGGATGTTCAGAATGTGGCTGTTTACAGTAAACGGCCGGGTTTTAGTTTGCCGTTGATGGCGAACAACTTCCGTCGGTTTAATGCAAGGTGGGGAGGTCTTCTAGGATTGGGATTCGGTATGGATGCTGATACTCGATAGAATCGGGGTGGTCTTTGTATTTCAAGCACAAGCCGAGAGGGTCTTTGCCTGGGCAAAGCCTACACATACCCTGTCTTTCCTCTTCGTCTATTCATTTGTCTGTCTGGATCCATACCTGCTGGTGATTCTGCCCATCATGATATTCCTGCTGTTTATCATGGTGCCGGCGTTTTTGGCTCGTCATCCGCCTCCCCCGACGGGCTCGAAAACCAACACCACACCGTATTACTCTTACCAGGGCCCTGCCCTGGCTCCGGCAAAGACCATCAAACCTGCGTCCGAGACGTCCAAGGATTTCCTCCGCAATATGGGGGATCTTCAGAATGTCATGGCGGACTTTTCTGACGTCCATGATGCAACCATTTCCATCTTTGCTCCAATCACAAATTTCTCCAACGAGACCCTTTCGTCGGCCACGTTCCTCCTGTGTACAATACTAGCTGCAGCCCTGTTTCTGACTGCACATCTGGTACCTTGGAGATTCATATTCCTGTTCGGTGGCAATGCGGCGATCATCTCGAAGCACCCCAGGTTCTGGTCCTTTGTGCAAACCCTTTTGCGGGACCTGGCGGAAGACGACGAAGAATCTCTTGATGTGCCGGGTGACCACAAAGAAAAAGAAGCCGTGGACGTCCTGGGTCTTTCTGTGCCATCTTCCCCATCCGCGACCATGGCGCTTCTCGAGAAGGTTGCCAACATCTCGCTGGATTCGTACCCCGAGGAGCGCGAGGTCGAGGTGTTTGAGCTCCAACACCGGTCTCCCGAAACTTACTCATCGTCGTCTGCCCTGTGGGAACATTTTTTATTCTCCCCCATGCCGTACGACCCGCTTTCTCCTGCGCGAATTGCAGGTGATCGCCCCCGTGGGTGTCGTTTCTTCGAGGACGTCCAACCGCCGCCCGGCTGGGGATGGAAGGGTAAGAAGTGGGAGCTGGACATAGACTGCCGCGAGTGGGTCGTTGAGCGGATTATCACCGGTGTCGGATGTGAAGTACAAGGCAGCACGGCGGAGCCCAATGGCACTGCCGGTGATGAAGTCGGTGGTTGGGTCTGGGACCTGCCTCCTGCGTCATCTGGGAGTCATGAAACTTCACGCGAGGAGGACGAGATTCCCACAACGCTGGTCTACGGGGATCTGAGTGACTCGTATAACTCTCTGAAGAAGAATGGCAAATCCCCCAAGGGGAAGAGGAGAATTCCTTCCTATTCCGCTTCTCGAGACTGGGAGGAAGGCACTGGAACAGTAGGTCCTCGAGCGATGGGAGAATGGAGGAGGAGACGGTGGGTGCGTGTCGTCCACCGGATCAGTATTGCGGATGAAAATCCCAAGAGCGGTCGCTAATGCATCCATGGCTGACGATTCTCTATGTATGTACACATATCATGATCGAATCTCATTTCTACTTATGATTCCGAGAAAGTTTTCCTCAGTCATTCATAAACAGAACTACTGTATTCAATTTGATGCAGATTCATAATGGCGATATTCATTGCTACAAGTGAACTAAAAGCTCAACAGGTAATGCCCGCCAATTTAGATATCACGCATAAAGCGTCGATCACCAAAGTCCTGAAGGAGAAATCACAAAATCGCTCTAGGACAACAAGATAACCCAACTGGTAGCCAACATCGCCCAAGCAACCTGCACGCCAGAGACATCATAAGGCCCCCGATGACCAGCGAGACTAACCCCAATGTTTGAAGACGGGGTAGCAGACGCGGCAGACTTGGTATGCATGCCCGCCGTGACAATAATAGTGCTCGTACTCACAGGATGGGTGGACGTAGACGTGACCGTCGTGGTAGAGTGGGCGCGCGACTCAGTGAGAGTGAGGACTCTAGGCGTTCCGGAGGAGGAGGAGGGTATCCCGACACTCTGAGTTGCAACAAGAGACGGGGTAGAAAGGCCGGAACCAAGATCGCTGGACATTGGGTAAGCTGCTGAGTACGGGGGTGCCAGGGGGTTGACGGTCTGCGTTGAAGCCGTCACGTCGGGGTTGATACATGCGGTGGCCGCGTCCGACGAGGAGTTCGAGGGCGTGTCCTGTCTCCTAGTAGCCAGGGGGTTCTCTTCGCTCCCGTTACCATTACCAACGGAGTCGCAGAGGATACTGCCGGGGACGGGGACAGGCTCGTTTGAGAGAGTATACCCGGTGCCGTTGAATGCGCACACAGCGTCACCACTGCTGGGGGAAGATTCGAAGCCTGCATCCAGTTATTCACCAAGCAAGTAGCATCACGCCTTGAACACACTTACAAACAGCAGCGAATCTCAAGTCCGAAGGAATGATTTGAGCAAGTCTGTATTAGATCCAACTCAGTAACGGCGAGCGAAGCGGCACGAGTTTTTGACGCACTGGATACCACAGGAGCGAACTTCCACCACAGTCGCAGAAACACAGGAAGCCATAGTTGTCGCATCAAGAGACTTGCCAATGCAGAAGCTGCCTCCTGCCTTGGAGCACACGAGGGCGTTGGTGACAGGGTCACTATGGTAGTAGTCAGTACCTGATCTGTCGAGTCCGGAGGAATCGTGGTGAACCTACTAGGCAACCTGGCCCTGGCCGCCCTGAATGAACAGAACTACCCAGAGAAAGTAGTACCACCATTCCCACATCTTGGGTGAGAATAGGGTTAAAGAGGTGTGAAAGATATTACTAAATATGAGATAGTAGGAGTAAGGTGCCACAGATGAATGCTGATACTAGGTAATAAGGGATAGTGAAAAGGTTAGAGACAAAGGACAATCGAGGGGAGAAAGAAAAGAGAGGATAGAAAGACGCGTCTAGTGTTTGCTTCTACGCATGTGGCAGCTCTTCTTCATCAGTAGATATGATTCTAGAACCACCCTTCACTAGCCTAGAAACTGAAACAACCCCCCAGGTATTCACCGTGGGGAAGAGAGAGAGAGAGAGAGAGAGAAAGAAGTGATGAAAGAAAGATGGATTGCAATATGTACTCAAGCCTAGGTATAGTCAACCCTTCCCCTCAACACTAAAAGCACTTTTGACACAAATACCATCTACAACGCCAGATTCGCCCAAAGGATGCATAAAGACCAACCAAGCAAAGCCGTGGTTAAGCATTCGCCTGCTTCCACTTGCGGACTCTGCGACGCAGATCCCCCTCGGTCTGCTGCATGGGGTTCATCTTCCTGTCGCGGCTCATTGCGCGGTAGTCCTCGCCGTACTTGTCGACCAGGCGCGAGATCCATTCGTTCTCTCGCTGGCTCTGGTGCCGGGGCTTCTTCTTCTGAACCGCCGCGCTCTCCCTGGCGGCCTGCAGCTCCAGCTTCCGCACAATGGCCGAGTCTGCGGCGCTGGAGCGCGACGGCATCGCATCCTCATTGTCCGACAGATCGTTCAGCGGGTCGTTGAGCGGGTTCGTGCGTCGCAGCTTGCGGCCAGCGATCTCAATCTCCTCGTCCTTGTCGTCGTCGCGAATCACCCGCAGGATCTTCCCGGTCTCGGGATCCCTCTCTACCCGCGTCTCGCCGAGGCTGAGTTTGGTCGATGTCTTGATACTCCCGGTGATGTGCAGGGAATCAGTCACCTCCTCGGTCGAGCCATCATCCTTGGCTCGTTTCTCGACTCCGCCCGTGGGGGCATTCAAGCGGTGGACTAAACCCAGTCGTCGATAGTTTTGCGTGAGAGTCTGGTTTCGATCCCTATTGTCTCCTTGTCAGTTTACTGCTTAATTCTGCTGCTCGATCGAGAATAGATCATACCAATTCTCTGCGATAATGGCGTTGCCCAGCACGTTGATTTTCTTGTTGCCATTCTTCAGCGTGCCCCTCTTCTTCGACCGGTTCTTCGGCAATGAAGACCGGTTCTTCTTCTTCTGTATCTCGCGTCCCATCTTGAAACTGCCACAGCACGAATCGGTCGGGTGAATACTGATGCAATATCGTCGTTCGTTGACCGTCGTAGAAAATCGTCTTATCGATTTCGCCCAAACTTTTGGCTGTTTGCATTCCTCCTTGGCGTGTTTGTGCGAGCTACCCAAAAACAGTTAGGCTCAAGACAGCGCCGATGCTCGGGCCTTTTTGTGGTTGCTCCGTAGTTGCTCCGTAGTTGCTCCGGAAGTTGATCGCTCCTTCCCCCCCCCATCCGCAGTCACTCCGTCACCCATTCTCAGTCATCACCGACTCTCGTTGCAGCTCTTGCAGGGTCTTTCCGAATGGCGTCGACTTTTGCTTCTGCAGCTCGCCGGTCGCTGCTGACGCTTACCATTGGCCTTCTGGTCTTTGGCGTGCTTGCAGCCGCTAGGAGTGCTAGCCCCGATGCGCAGGCGGGGATCCCAGTTGGGGAGCTGTCTGTGGCCCAGATCGAAGAGGAATTGCAGGTGCGTGATGCGTGGCTTCTTGAGTTGCAGTAAGGCAGCGTGGATCTGACTAGACGGCAGAACTGTCCGCTGGTGGAATCGCTGAACCAGCAGAAACGGGCTGCCAGTGAGGGGACGACGAGTTTGCTGGCCCAGATCTTTTCTGTTCTGTTTCCTGGTAGTCCTGCGGTCAATTCCATTCTGGCTACGTTGTACATTTCCGGGCCCCCAAGTATGCGCTCCCTCAGCTCCAATTGCATGCTGTCAACCACGCAGTAGTGGCGCGATGCGTAAATGTGATGCATCAAATTGACCGGGTTCTTTTTTAGACTTCCTGCTCGCACTATGCCCACCCAACATCGACCCATCATCTCTCTCGGTGATGGTTGCGTTTGCAGTGGGTGGCCTTCTCGGCGACACGTTATTCCACCTTCTTCCCGAGATCTTCTTGGGAGAAGACGCTCACGACCATGTGCGATTTGTGATGGTTGAGCCGAACAGGAACCTGCTCCTCGGGGTAGGGATCATGGTCGGCTTCTTCACGTTTGTCGCCATGGATAAGATCCTGCGGATTGCTACTGGTGGGGAAGGCGGACACGACCATTCTCACGGTCACAGCCACCACGAGGCGTCCTCGGCTTCTGCAGTGACCACCGGCTCCGAGTCCAAGGGTGAATCCGAGCAGAAGGGATTGAAACAACGTAAAGCCACTGCGGACGTGCCAGCTCAGCCGTCGGCGGAGAAAGAGGTCAGCCAGAGTGTCAAGCTGGGAGGCTACCTGAACTTGATTGCGGATTTCACCCACAACATCACCGACGGGCTGGCGCTGTCATCCTCGTTCTATGCGTCGCCGACGATTGGCGCCACGACCACGGTCGCTGTGTTCTTCCATGAGATCCCGCATGAAGTTGGCGATTTCGCCCTGTTGATCCAGTCTGGTTTCTCCAAACGCAAGGCCATGGGCGCCCAGTTTGTCACCGCAGTCGGGGCCTTCCTCGGCACTTTTATTGGTATTGCCGTGCAGGAGTTGGGCGGTGCCTCTGCAGCCGACAAGGCTTCCTCGGACACCTTTGTTGGTCTCTGGGGTACCAGTCTGGCATGGGGCGATATGCTGCTCCCTTTCACTGCCGGTACTTTCTTGTACGTCGGCACCGTCGCAGTGATTCCGGAGCTGCTGGAGACTGGCCCGGACAGGAAGGTGGAAATCCGGAAGACCATCACCCAGTTCTTGGCTGTTGCGGTGGGCGCCGGTATCATGCTTGGGTGAGTTTCCTCATTCAACTAAACATTCTTACTTGCGGGACTAACCTCGACAGAATTTCTTGGGACTAGACATAGATGGATATATGGATTTCTCATTGGTACATACAGGTCTAAAAAATAGTTGGTAATTATTTCTATCGCATCTATCTCTATCTCTATCTCTATCTTTATATCTATCTGTCTATACATCTATACCGTCTATCTATGCCGTGACCTCGCGCAAAAACTCGCGGACCAAGCGATCCTCCTCATCAATGAATGGCTGCACGACCTCCACGCCCCGGCGCCTCTCCTCGTCCAGGCGCTCGCTGGACCAGAAGATGTCATCAGAATCAGAGCTTTTCTTCTGGGTATTGAAATTGCACCCTGATGCACTGCCGTTCACTCCATTTGTCTCATTTTCGAACAGTCCATACCCCGCCGCCTCAAACACATCCTTGGGGGGGACGGTATACCGCCCCTTCTTGACGACATACTTGCTAATCGACATGGCGAGGAGGTTCTTTTTCATGAAATCTTCGCCGTCGCCGGTCTGCTTCTTTCCCGAGCGAGCCGGTTTGACGAACCACGTCACAATATAGATCCACTTCTGGTCCCAGCCCAGCACCTTCGAGCGCACCTCGTACTTCATATAGGGCGGGATCTCGCGCTTGAACGCCGTATACACACTCCCCAGGATAATCGCCAGCCTCCCATTCTTCTTGCCTTCTTTGGCGAGCTGTTGTTCTAAAATGCGCGTTGCCTTGACGGTAAGCCCGCACATCAGTTTCGTCCTCGACACGTCCAGATCGGAGAAATAGGTGGAATTGGATTTATGCATGTTGTAATCTATCTCCGCGAAGGGGGCGCGACTCGTCATGCTTGCAGGTTCGAATATCTGGCTCGCTGGCAACTTGGGAACAAAATGGGGTGGGTTGTGCCAGCCGTTGGCGAAGAAGTAGCGGAAGACGCGGACCTGATCGCCATTAGTATGAAAGTAGGGGACTGGGATACGGTTTCTTTTTTTTTCTTTTCTTTTCTTTTCTTTTACTTACATGCCATACAAGAGGCAGGTTCTTCAGATTCAGGAGGGCGAGGGCGATTGCCGCCGCTTTCCAAGTGAATAGGGAGCCGAGAAGGTCCAGCATCGTCTTACTGTATTATTGGATGGATCGATATAGAATTGATAGAACCGAATTGAACAACAAGCAATGAAAGAGAAAAAAAGGAATAATATTAGAATTATTGTTTTTTGACTTGAATCTCAGATTAAATCAACAAGTTGCCTCGATCTTTAAATTTTCTTTTTTTCCTTCCCGGACCACCTGCTTAGAAGGGAAATGGTCCGTCTTGATGAACTGGGTACCAAGACTTGAAGTTGAAGACGAGATTACATTATTGACATTCTTGTCCCCGGCATGGAGTAGTTTACTGCAGTCTTACAGGTTACAAGATTGTCTATGTGACCGGTGTAAATTAGCAAGTCTATAAATCGACGCCGGATGAGAGAAAAAAAGAAGAGAAAGAAGAGAAGAGAGCGAGTGATGCGCGCAGCGTCATCATTCGTTATAATGGTATACCTAATAGTAGTTAGTTGGATTGTTTTTCATGAAAAAAAGATGTGTTCAAAGCGAAGGGAGCTTACAAAATAATCCGGCAGACCATACGAGCCGTAACCTAACCTGCTTGCCATCTTGGCGAAGCCCTCTGTCTCGACAAGATGGTAGAAGGGGAAGGCGGGGAACATGGCGCCGTCGCGATGGACCTCAGCCTTCACCATGAGGGCGGTGCCGCCTACGCCGTCGAGGGGAATGACGCGCTCGGGCTGGGGTCTATCGGTGTTGGCGAGGTAGGCCATTAGGGAGCGATAGGTGGGCATCTCGGCGTAGCCCTCTAGGAGGATCTCGTCGGGGCCCATGGTGCTTGCGAGGTCACGGGCGACGGCGGAGTCGCGCCAGGAGTTGAAATCGTAGGGGCGGATATCCTGTTTCCCGGAGTCGGAGTTGTAGTAGCGCTGGAAACAGTTCGGGACGATGACCGGCAGGTCGTGCGAGGTTAGATCCTGGATTAAGGTAGGGGGTGTCTCGATGATGTCGGCGTCGAGCCAGAGCACCCACGAGGTGCTGGGGCCGAGGGTGGTGAAGAGCAGACTGTTGCGGGCGCGGCTCATTGCCTCGCGACGCACCTTCTGGTTCTCCATCTTGTGTCTTTCCTTTTCGTCCTGCGAGGCCAGCGGGGGGGCAAAGTCCTGGCGGAGGATGGTGATGCTGGCGAACCGGTTCTCGAGATGGCCCGACTGGGTGCGGGCGATGGCCTCCTCCAGCGCCGTCAGGGCGGCGTTTCCCTCCCGGTTCTTGGGGATGATGAATCCCAGCGAGATCAGCTCGTGCGGATAGTTCAGCTGTTCCAGGTTGTCCCAGTATTCCTGGTAGAAGCGCGCAAGCGGGGTCAGCACCAGAACGCGCTCGCCGTTGGCGATCGAGTCCGGGGTGCTGGTCAGGTTGTTGAGCTGGTAGTGCACGACGGGCGGGGGGGAGTTCTTCTTCGCATGGCTCTTGACAAACGGTTTTGTCGGCGGGGAGAGCGGGTTGGTCGCAGCGTCATTCTTGCGACGCTGTTGCTGCGAGCTCGAGGACGAGGACGAGGCCGAGGACGAGGACGGGGTGAGGAGGAAGCAGAGGAAGCCAAAGGCGAGCAACGCGGCGAGGAAGAGAGTGATGGGACTGGTCCGACGCATCGAGCGTGCCACAGCCATCGTGGCTGAAGGGTGAGGAGATTGGCGAGGGAAAGGCAGTCGAATCGAATCAGAGGTTCATTCTGAGATACACTCAAATCATGAATTAATATCGTATAATGGGAGATCCCAGAAGAGAGAGGAAGAGAGAGTGTGTAGAAATTATCAGGAGGTTGCGTTGCATCCGTCTTTCTTTGGGCCAACCAACAACTTCGGGATGTCTTCAAGTAACTCAAGCTTTGGCCGGAAAGGACACGCCCACCCATCATTGACTGACATTCGATTCTTTATTATTGAAATGTAACCATGAATATTTTTCTACTGAATAATATGCAACACTTTTTTATGATTCTATTATTCAGAGCTATTCCACTAGTTGTCCTTGTATCTACCGCATGCGGATGACGCAAGCAGCGCTATTCTTGACACCAAGTCTCGTCTATTCGTCCATGTAGTATGTAGTATATACAAAATCGCTAATCACAATCTACTGTCTAGTGAAAATAAAGAAAAGAGGAAGAAAAAAAAAACCCCCCTACGGTAACGCCCGCATGGCGGCCTCAAAGGCGACGAGAGCCATGGCGTTGGCGGGAAACGCGCGCAGGAAACAAGGGATAAAGCCTCTCCAAAAGCCCATGAACCCGCGCTCCCTTGCGACGGCCACTGCAGCGTCCTTCCAGCGGCGGAACTGGCGCTGCCCGTCGCCGAGACTGCCGCCCAGGGGGTCTGTCATAAACCGCTGCTTGACCACGTCGGAGGGGTACGAGACTATCCAGAAGACCTGGGCGGAGATGCCGCCGGCCCAGAAATTGATGACGGGGGCCGATAGCGAAGTGTTCTTCTTCATGTAGCGGGACAGGAGGTCGTAGGATCCCCACCAGAAGAAGAAGAAGGAGCGGAAGATGATCGTTGCGCAGAGGCCGCGATAGATGCCTGGCACACCGTGAGAGGCGTACTTTTTTTATTAGTAGGAAAATATATATACTTGGGGTGAGGTTCGTACAATCTTCTTGATACAGTCGATCGGCCCACTGTACATGCGTCGACTCTTATCAGCGGCATACTGGATCTGCAACCGGGCCTTGACATGCTCGACGGGGGCCGCGACGAAGCTGACCGTCGTGCCGGCCATGACGCCCGCGATGCCATGGCCAAAGGTGGGGAGAGAGGTCAGATCGGTATCGTGGCTGGAGAAGGGCATCAGGGCGCGGAGGTGAGGTTTGGAAAAGATGTTCTCGTGTACTAGGCGACGATAAAACGTTAAAGAACCAAGCATTCTAGAAAAGACCAAGAGTTAGCATAGGTCTTTTTTTTTAAATCTGTGTTTTTTAATCTGGTCTTACACTGAATCCATGACCATCCATCCGACCAGCGGCGGCGTGGCCCCCTTGTACAAACCCGCGACGCCTTCCTTCCGTATCGTCTGCAGGAGACAGTCGAGCGGACCCTTGAACTGGGCATCTTTGCTTGTTTGTAGACGGACCTTGACCGTGTCGAACCTGACTGGTTAACAATCGGCATCATCAGATCTGCCAGACTCGAAGACGTACGGATGGCCAACTAAGCATACAATTAGCATACTCGATCACATCAACCCACTAGATACAGTACTTACCGCTCAGCTTGGCGATTCCTGAAAACACACCCGCCGCAAAGCCCTTGTAGTGACTCGAGCCCGAGCTACTTTCTTGTGACATTGTGCGTTTCTCTCTCTCTGGATCAAGAAAAAGTGACAGTCGGTCCGAGATCGGCGGTGAGTCAATATTGGCGATAAGAGGCGGAAAGAAGGAATAGAGGCAGCAAAAGGCGGTAAAGGGTATACGGAGAGGAAGAGAGGAAGAAAATGAAAGTAGATTCTTATAATTATGAGTTCTATCAGCAATAATTAGTCTTTTGGGGATGGCAGTTCAGTGTGGATGCCCCCGCAGTCGGGGAGCAAGGGAGATCTCCGGACCATAGGGAGTCTAGGTATAACTACTGGATAGTTACAACTTAGTGGTACGGGGTACAGTTGACACTTCCATGTAGTACCTATAGAACAGTACTAAGATATGCTATATAATGAGGGTATAAATACAACACCGGCAATGCATAAGAAAATAAAATCAATCTGCCCAGGCCATCGCTTTTTACTCTGTCTCTAGTTCTCCACCATAGCGCTACCAACCGTATTGGCCCCGGCTGGTTTTCCGGACATGCGGTTGCTGTTGCTGTCGCGCCCGGTCCTTCTCCCGTACAATCAGCATCTCCACCACATCTGGTGACGGGGCGTTGGAAAGGTAGTGATGACCAGCAGCACCAGGAGTTGACGTTGACCCCCGAAGGATACCACTGCTGCTGTGATCTCCCGCCGCGAGATAATTGCCCGCCTCCTCGAGAGCCAACGGGGTGACGGGTCCAGGGCTGCGCAGGGGATCCAGTCTGGGCGCCGAGGGGCTCAGCGAACGGGGACCAGAGGGCGTGCGTGGGAGAGTGATGCTTTCGACCCATTCGCGGTACGAGGTGGCCGAGGTGCGGTATGTGGCTGCAGCAGGGGCGACAAGTTGGCGGGACTGTCGCGGAGAGGAGGGCGGTTGTTGCTGTTGTTGTTGTTGTTGACCTCCTCCTTGTGAGATATGGAGGGTACTGTTAACAACAGGCACAGGGCCATTGTTCACCGGGTTGATGGTTGTAGCCGTCGAGGTGGATGCCGACTGGTAGACAGCCGGGTGGAAGCGAGGCAGCGTGCCGAGGTGGAAGGCCGGGGATTTGGTCGACGAGCGTGCGTGAGGCAGCGACGGCGGCGGTGAGGGTCGAGGGGACGAGGGGGAGTGGGAGGGCGACATGAGAAGGGGGGAATGGGAGTGCATTTTAGATAGATAGATAGATAGATAGTACTCTGTACTAACTACCTAGGTAGTTATATGGTGACAAGAGGTGTAGGTGTAACTGTGCCTGACAGAGTGAATGACAGAGTGACTGCCGGTAACCGAGACAGAAAGTCAGGACAGGAGGCCTCGATAAGGATTAAATAACAATCGAAAGGTACCTTGTACCTTTAGGTAGGATGAGACGGATGGGTGGGGTGACCAGGATCAGCGAGTTGCAGTCTGGGCTGGGAGGAGGAGCGGGGTGGAGAGTAGGAGAGTAGGAGATGAGGAGAGAGAGAGAGAGAGAGAGAGAGAGGAGAGAGAAAGGATCAGTGGGACACGTGTCAGGCGTGCATGGAGAGGAGAATGAGAGGATTAATTTACAGGGGAAAAAGAAAGAAAGACAAGTAAGGAGGGAGGGGATTAAATCCATCGAATTATTCGTAGGAAGATCCGGAAATGAGGAAATATTTGGCATTCTCTATCCAGGCTGTCAACCAAGCCATAACGTCATTGCGGGGATAGGAACGGATTTTGAGAAAAGAATAAGCAATAGATAATAAGAAATAGATAATAAGAAAATAGAAAATAAGAGGGCAGATAAATATAGAATAACAAAGACAAATTTAGAATAAGATGTAGATATTACTACTCTGTACTCAGTAAATACACTGTACGACTCTCCTATGTTTAGAACAAAGAATGACTCCAGATGAAACAGACGTCTCATGGTTGGCATCCATGTGTCGATGCAAGGGATGAGCAGAATCAGAGGAATTGCCTCTTCGGAGTACGGAGTACTCCGTAGAGAGTCGTATTTCATAACTGGATATAGATGAGTGATTAAGTAGAACTGAATAAGTACAATAATAATGTCCATCAATTTACTACTATCTTCATCAGTGGTGCCTCAGGCAGTAATAAGGTTCAATTCAGAGGCATTTAGTAAGAGGTATTTCGTACCATATTATACAGAGTACTAATATCAGGTAACTATCTTATCTTACTCTTTCCTACTGATCTATTTAGAACTTCCTCACTGTCCTCTAACATGAGTATAGTCTTTGATCGCAAGAATGCCTCAGGTTACAGAGAAGTTGCGTCATCCTTTTGTCGAGGTACAGTCCTATCAGAAATAAGTCTATAAAGTATATTATATATACAATATATTCGTATATATGTAGGTCTTTACGGTAGTATATACCCATAGATGAATATAAATATACCATATGTTAAGTCCTATACCAATATAACTGATACAGAATCATAGTCAAGCAGCCGATAGCCAATGACGCATAATGACATTGAAGGCAAATCAGCATCCATACATCTACTCCTCCGCTACCTAGGTACACTCTTCTACTCTGTTTCTTGACATCAAAATCAATCAAAGATGTTCTACAAATCTGCCGACCGCATCATATTGGAAGACAACCATATCCTCTCGTGCCGCTGCCGCGACAAAGACGGGCAAATGAAATACGCCCGCTTCGACCTGAACACATGTATCGGGAATAACAACGGTATCTGACTCCTGCAAGTTTTATTTATAATCTTATTATACATTCTCATTCATGGGGTTTTCTATAGGCCGCTTCCATTGGAACGGACACGACTTCACAAGCAGCGCGTCGCAGATCCATCTGACTCTCGAGGGAAACGACCGCGCGCCGATTCTGCACGCGCAGCTGAATGATCGGCATGGGAGCCAGCAGTCTGCGTCGTTGAACCTGGGCGACTGTCTCAAGAATGTCAATGGGAAGTTGGAATATATGGAGTGCTGGTAGAAACGACTTTGAATATACAAAGTTATATAAAGTTACTAGGTCTCTTGGGAACCCATTATCAAAGTCAGTATCGAATGAGCAACCTGTGCTGCGGCAAGGGTTGTCGTTTCTCCCGCCGTGTCGTAGATGGGAGACACCTCCACCACGTCGCCACCGATGACGGGCATCCCGTGCAGTCCGTCGAGGATGGAGAGTAGTTCGCGGGATGTATACCCGCCTGGCTCGGAGGTTCCGGTGGCTACATAGTTAGTATTTAACGAACAGAAAAAAAAGGCATAGACATAAACAGAGAGAGAGAGAGAGAGAGAAATACCCGGCGCGTATGCAGGATCAAGCACATCGATATCAACGGAGATGTAGACTTTGGAATCTCCCACCCGCTGCTTGATCCGATCGACGATCCCGGTGACGCCGATCCGGTCGATATCTCTTGCCGTCACGATCTCGAATCCACAGCGGAGGTCGTTGCGCAGGTCACCTTTTGGGCGCAGGACGGGGGCCCGGATCCCGACGTGGATGGACGAGTTGGTGATGAGGCCCTGTCAGTCAGAACTGGAACGAAGGTTTCATTGCATATAGTGAGATAGTATATCGTGAGATACCTCTTCGTGAGCGATATGCAAAAAGGTCCCATGATTGATTCCTCTGACAGGTCAGCTTCTACGTATCATGTTGTAGATGGCTGATACCCACGCGTAATGCGAGACACCACCGCCCAGGACATTCGGATCCCACGTGTCGATATGGCTGTCGAAATGGATGACCGACACCTCTCCCCAGTGTTGATACGTCGATCGCAAAGCCGATAACGTCGTGGTGTGGTCTCCCCCCAGCGTGATGATTCTAGGCACGCCGCCTGAAGGTGTAGACCGAGAGGACACAACCTGAACCATCCGTCATAATTCATAATCGTGCAAAATAGTTCCAGTCGTAGGTGGTAAGGTACCTTATGAGCAAGATCCAACTGCTTGAGGGCAATGGTATTATCCAGAACCGTCAAGGGGGCATCCCCACAGTCCACGATCTGCGCCCAGCTATCCAGCACATCTTCCCCCGTGTAAACGCTGTATCCGCCTAACCGGCGAGATCCGAGCCGAATCCCTGTAGGTCCGTACCGGGCACCGGGACGAGCAGTAACGCCCTATTTTAGGATTAGCATAGTTCCTGCAGGTCTACTTGAGAAGAAAAGGAGTACAGTGTCGAAAGGTGCTCCTAGGAAGGCAACATCGTAGGATTCATTCGTGTTGAAGCAGTTGAGATATGGTAGGCGGGCGAAGGTGGTGAGGCCGGAGAATTGGCTGCCTGTCACGATATCGATAGGCGTATCTGATAGCACTGCCGGGGAGAGCGGGGATTGCGCGAGGATCGGAGGGAAGGTGATTTCCCGCGCGAGGGAGAGAGAGAAGAAGAAGAGAGCGTATTTGAGCATCTCAGGCGAGCAGTTCTTTTCGATAATTGCTACTGCTTTTGTGAGGGTGAAGCTGATGAAGAGCTTCTTATAAGAGGGACTTGGAAGCAGATAGATAAGAGCACACTAGTCCGGAATAGGCAAGTACATGCGAACAGTATAGAGAAATGGATTGGAATATTCTGGATTAAGGTAAAATACATCTACTATATCATTACAATCAGTCGTTCTTCACGAGCGAAGGCCCTGTGAAATGCTTCCTGCCCGTTGTGAGCCAGGTGACGAGCGCAATCAAGAGAATGACGCCAACCGCGGCGCTGGTATAGTTCATCCCCGTCGAGGTGACGGGATAGTCTGAGGGGAAGTTGAAGGTGATCGAGGCGAACAGCAGGAACAGCAGGCCGATGAAGTTCAGGGTCAGCGAGAGAGACTGTGGGAGGGCGTAGGGGCCAGTCATGTGGGTTGCGTGGCCGGTGAAGTAGCCGAGCAGTCTGCTCAGCAGAGCCATGGCATAGGAAAGGTCTGCAATGATTAGTAGTGTATTGAATACGGGGTATTGAGTGCGGGAGCAAAACGTACAGAAACCCTCGGTGGAAATGGCAATGACGGTTTCAAAGCCGGTGGTGGTTCCAAAGTCGATGGCCCCCAAGGCCAGTTGCACGGCAAGAGTGAGGAGCACGGCATTGACCGGGACATGGCTCTTGTGGTTGACGCGGGCGAAGAATCGGGAAAAGGGCAGGCCGTGGTCGCGGGCGAAGGCGAAGACGGTGCGGGAACCCTCGGCCAGCAGGTTGTTGCTGGCGACGATGACGACGATGGAGATCATGCTGGCAAGGAAGCAGGCACCGACTTTACTGCCCGTGGAGTCGTAGAAGATCTGCAGGACGGGCACGCCGGTGCTGGTGTCGGCGGTGGTGGTGAGATCTCCAATGCAGAAGCACAGGGTGAGCAGAAAGGCAAAGCCCGTGATACAGCCCAGGACGACGGACAGGACGATGGCGCGCGGGGCTTCCTTGGCGGCCGACTTCATCTCCTCGGTCATATGGGAAGGGGCGTCGTAGCAGCACATGCCGAAGCACGACTGCAGGATGCCCAGGATGGCGGCCATGCCGGACCCCCAGCCGGTCAGGTTCTCGAACTCGGTGAAGACAAAGGAGGCCGACTGTTTGTGGTCGTTGGTGGCGAGCAAGGTGATCATCACGACGAGGAAAGAGCCCACGTTGAAGACGAGGATGAAATGGGCCAGCCGGTTGAGCCACTTGAGACCCCAGAGGTTGATTGCCGCGGCGAGAAAGGCGACCAGGTACGCGACCAGGGTGGTCTGCCAGCGGGTGATCTCATACTCGGGATACACCAGATTCGCCATGCCCAGCACGAAATTGGCCGCGATCGAGTTGTTGGTCGCCCCCATGGCCAGCACGCCGATCAGCAGGAACCAGCCGGCCAGGTAGGACAACCCGCGGGCGATCTTCGGGGGCGCCAGCGCAGCGACCCACGAGTACTGGCCGCCCGCGACGGGATACATGGAACACATCTCGGCCATGGGGAAGGCGACGGCCAGCGTCAGCAGACAGACGCCGATGAAGCTGTACACCATCACGGGCGGGCCGCCCGAGACGACGCCGACGATAAACACGCCGCTCAGCGCCGTCCACGAGGTGACGATGCTGAAGCTGAAGCCGATCATGCCGAGCAGACCAAACGACCGCTTGAGCTCTAAATCATTAGCCAAGACCTCGGCAGTACCTCCAGCAGTCCTTGATGTAGCCTACCCTGCTCGTACCCCAGGTTCTCAAGGGCAACATCGTCGCCCCCTTCCAAGACAGGGTCCGCCTCTTTGACAGCCATATTGTATCGATTCAAGGGGGTGTTGAACGGTCAATTGCCAGCACGGTCGGAAAGACACGGACGCGAGGCGGCCATGTCTTTCTTATACCGGGAATTGGTGAGATCGTCGGGGGGGCTCGAGGTTTAGTCATTTGTTGGTGCAATTGATAACATACGGGGGGAATCCGCCGCCGGTTCAGGAGGAGATAAGATAGCGCTGACGGTTTCCTTTTGCGCCGCTACTCCAGACCAGAGGTTTGGCACGTCCATAGTTTAATTGTAAGTATGGATAATGGATAACCAGCCATGTGGCAGTGGAGTTTCTGACTGACTCATGAGATGGAATAGGGCGAGCAGTCGGATCTGACAACCGACAGCGATATCAGTGGTTGAAGGAGCCGTCGGCGAGTTGAAAGCGAGATAAGGAGAGTCTGTCGAGAGGCTGAGGATTGAACAATGTATTATCAATGACAAATAGAATAGATAATGTTGAATGTGTTGACTCTACGTCTAGAGTATCATTACTAGGTAGAGAGTAGTTACAATTAACTGTGGCGTAGGAGCTTACTCCGTACTACATACAGGGTCTTGTACGAGTACATAATGCAGCTATAAGCTTCTAATTAATAATAGATAATCCCGAGTATCTAGCAGATTCCTTAATACCTCTACTTCATACTAAAGAGTACTAGAGTATGTAAAGACAAGTAATGGTAGTTAACTAACTAGTAGTATGTAACATACCTACTGGCAGAGATGCCTCAGGCATCATATGAGGCCAGACTTTTCAATATCACCACGTCCTCGACACTCCATAACTAATACTACTAGACACAACATGGTCTGTCATTCAGAACTCTACAAGTCTCAAGAGTCCAACTAATCCCTCTAGCCACACGCCGACTCCTCGCATTTTGCCCCGGGCTCCAAGGAGGAGATCTACGAGCAGGTCCTCCTCCAGGCGACCGGGTTATTGGACGGACAGAGAAACTGGGTAAGAGAGAACGATCTAAGGAATAGAGAGAAACCATCTAACAAAACTAGGTCAGGTAATACCATCTCTGTCTCTCTCTCTCTCTCTCTCTCTCTATATCTAATGAATAGTAACTTTGCCAACGTCTCCTCCCTCCTCTGGCACGCCTTTGCCGCCCTCCCACCCCCCTCGAACGCAGTCAACTGGGCGGGGTTCTACGTCCGAGCAGATAAATTCCCACAACCAAACACACACACACGGAATGAAGACGAGAAGGAAAAACTCCTGCTAGGGCCGTTCCATGGGAAACCAGCCTGCCAGGAGATCCGGTTCGGAAGGGGTGTCTGCGGGACTGCCGCGGCCAGGCGCGAGACGGTTCTCGTGCGTGACGTGGAGCAGTTCCCAGGCCATATTGCCTGCGACGCGGAGAGTCGTAGCGAGATCGTCGTGCCGGTGCTTGTCGCCGGGGAGACCGTGGCCATCATCGATGTCGACTGTGCGCTGGTCGATGGTTTTGATGAGGTTGATAAGCGCTGGCTGGAGGATTTGGCGGCTCTCCTTGCAACGGCGTGTGATTTTAATTAGATAGACGATTAGAGAAAAACTACAGAATACAGAGTGATTCAAGAATAATTAAGGAATAATAATTACATGATACGTCACCACACCCGGTGGTTCTATTCTATTGCATGTTTAAAAGACTGTTCTGCCGTCTCGTCGGACTCGTGCAGTCGCCATCCTCGCTGGGCCCGATGCCACTGTCCGTCCCGTTCAGCCCGGCGTCGGTGTCAATGTCCCATTCTTCAGGACTCGCCGTCTCCCCCGGGTCTGTCTCGCCCGCGCCGTCCGTCCACCCCTTCTGCACCGCCCCGCGCGTGTTCCAGCGCAGCGCGCGCTGCACGCTCTGGAACCATTCCCCGCTGTTCGCCACCACCGTCGGAAACGGGTACTGGCTGGCCTCGACGGTCACGTAGTCGCCCTGCCGCAGCTCCACCCGGCCCTTGCCGTCGAAGGAGCAGTACGCCGTCGACCGTGACGCGACGGGCACCGCAATCCGCAGCAGCAGGCTGTCCGACAGCACCATCGGCCGGAAGGAAAGCGTGTGCGGGCAGATCGGTGTCAGCAGGATGCCGGGGATCGACGGGTGGATCAGCGAGCCCCCGGCGGATAGTGAATATGCCGTGGAACCTATTGTAGTTGAGCAAGAAAAGAAAAAGAAAAAGAAAACAAATTAAAAGGAGAGAGGAGAAGTACCTGTCGGCGTGGAAAATATACAGCCGTCCGCCTGGACAACAGTCAAGAGCTCGTTGTCGGCGTACAGCTCCAGGTTGGAGACGTAGGGCGAGGGCCCTCGGTCAATGACGAGTTCGTTGAGGACCTCGAACTGCTCGCCCTCCTCGACGGTGTCGGCGTCGGCGCCCTTGCTGCGGTCCTTGCGGAAGACGGTGCAGGTGAAGCGCATGCGCAGGTTGACGCGCATGCCGACGTCGCCCATGACTGCGTTGAGGTGGTCCTGGTAGCTTTCGAACTCAAAGTTGGTGAGAAAACCGAGGCTGCCGAGCGAGAAGCACAGCACGGGCGGGACGATGCGCTGGAACAGCCAGGAGGTGAAGAGCACCGTGCCGTCGCCGCCGAGAGTCAACACCAGGTCGAACTTCTCGGGCGAGGTCCAGCAAAGATCGGGCGTCCAGTACTTGAGCATGGATTGGAAGCGCGGCTCCCGCTGCAGCAGACCCGCCGCGTCGAAGCGTTTTGAATGCCGCAGCTTGGCGTCCACGTAGACGTTCACCCCGAGATCACTGCCGTAGCGCGGCGTCGCCAGCAGCCACTCGGTCAGCTCGCGCGTCAGGTACACCAGGCTGTTGTCGCGCGCCTTGGTCACGATCATCACGTTCCGGACCGCCCGCTTGATCGGCCGCCGCTGCAGCTGCTTCGACACCTCACGCACGCCCGTCGCCGTCTGTACGAGCCGTGAGTGGGACAGCCAGTCGTCGTCAGTGATCTCTTCCAGCACCTTTTGGATATTGACCGCGTCGTCGAATCGCTGGTGGAAGAAGCAGGGGGACTGCAGCGCCAGCCGGGCCGATGCCGACGTCCGATCCAGCAGCCCACTGAGCTGTAGATTCGCCAGGGCCGCCGACAGCCGCCGTGACGACGCCCCGCCGCTTTTGCCGTCTTTTTCCTCGGTCGGAGGGCTCGTACTGGTACTGCTGGCACTGGTATTAGGATAGCCGAAGCCCGCCCGCGAGGCCGCCAGCGGCATCGAGCAGGCCGGGTTGGGATTGTTCTGCGGGTGCAACGAGGACCGCGACGCCAGCGCCTTCATGATTGTCTGCCGGGGCACACAGTCGGTCGACAGCGAGGTTTTGTGGCGGCTGGGAAACGATTTCGCCGTACGCAACGGCAGGAACGGAGTCGGCGGCAGCGACAGCAGCGATTCCTCCCGCCGCAGCTCCACCGTCTGTGTCACAATTTCCCCCCGGTGTTTCGCCGTCGTCTGGGTGATGGAAGCGTCTCCCGCCGACGTCTCGTTCGGAGTCTGTGACGGGTCTATATGCAGGGCATAATCGCGGAGTAGCGAAGCGCCGACCGTGGAGGCCGTCCGAGGTGGGACACCCGCCGCTGCCGCCGTGGAGGATGGAGGAGGAGGAGGAGGAGGAGAAGGAGGAGAGGAAGAGGGGTACGGCGACGAGATCCAAGACTGCGAGATACGCCGAGTCGCCCCAGCGACCAAGCTACCCTCCTTCTCGGTGGGAGAGGAAGCCATAGAGGGCAAAATCGACGCAGCAGGGAAAAAGGGGGGAGGGATTGGTGGATTCTTATTTATTTCCCACCCGCGGGAGGGACCCAACCCAACCCCGACGGCGAGGGAAGGAAAAAAAGAAAAAAATGACAGCCAAGTGATGAGCACCGTCAGCGTGCAGCTGGATACACGAATTTGCCAACTCCCCGACCCCTTCGCTGGGTCTGCTGGCGGAGGGGGGGCGAATCAAGCGATAATTGGAGCGATCTGACGTGCTGCTGGGGCGGCCTTGAGGGAGGATCAGATAGATATCGGAAAGAAGACGAGGGAAACTCGTTTGGTCGAGTGTTGGTTGTGATTGTTGTGGGATGTGTCTGGGGTAGTTTGCTGGCGATTCTCAAGGCGAAGTGGGGGATGGGGATGCGCCCTTTGTATTGGGCTTTGTTCGTGGGATTCATTATTCAAGCTGCCTCCATCCACGGGTCGTGATAACGGGCGGAGATAATCTACTCCGCCGGAGTTAGTGCTTGCAGTACTCCATATACAGTAATAATAGTAATAGTATAGTGTAGTATAGGATAGGATAGGATAGCTAAGAATATTTAATAGCAAACATCTCATGTAAATAACGTTCTCGGTGTTCTAATCACAGACAGTTCAAGTCTCAAAGACGCTCCATCCGAGCCCGAGAGCAGATTCTGCCGAGGTAATCATGCTTAGTCATCTCGGATCCGGCAACAGAGGACCAAAAGTACCAAAAGGCCTAGTTACAAAGTACCTTTACAAAGTACTAGGTACCTTTACAGAGTACCTTTACAGTTGTACGGAGTACCAGTTACAGAGTATTGAGTGGGTATTACCTGTTAGTACTACTCTGTACCAAGGTTACTTATCTCACCTACTATACTCCATCTATACACGGTGACTTCGGTTCCACAGAATAGCCGTTGGTGCCTGCTTGGCCTACAGAAGTAATGCTGTACCCCGGAGCCTTGCATATGTAGTACATTGGGAATACGAAGTACAGAGTACAAGTTACAGATCCATTGCTCTCTCTTCGTGCGTGGGATACTGGAAATACCTCACTTATCTATCCATTCAGGTATCCTCGGCCCTAGTACAGGAGTAGCGAGCACGCTCAATCAGGCCAGCTTGTGACTCGTATTCCCATCTAGGGCAAAAATGGGGCAGCAACTCAGCTGCTAGCTGTGCCCCAATCCTGTTGTAGCGGTCTCGCGTGGCTGGCCTCGTAGGGTCGCTCGCTGGAGACGTGCCGACCATTCGGTGCACGGCAACCAACTAGACTGCTCATCTCCTGGACGCAATTCACGGTCTGAGCGAGACAGGGAGCGCAGCCGATCTATGTCAAAAGACGTAGTTCTCTTGTGGCGTATTGTCCAGTTCATAATGTTGCGATTTCCATCGTGTCAATCAAGCGAATTCGTAAGCATATTTGAACCCGATGTAGTCCTCGACAGACTCCGCCAGCCATTTCTGCCATGTACTTCCGACCGCGTATTCAACCTTGCCGTTGCCCGCACTGGCCTCTTCCGGGAGGTGGCAGATCGTCAGAGCGCGATCATGGACTTTCTCCCACGTATCAAAGTCAAACGACCCTTCGCTCTCAGTCAATAACAGATGCCCCTTAGAAGAGAATGCCAGGACATGCACCGAGGCTGCCTCATCTGCATCCTTGATTGAGGGTTTGCAAATAATCTCTCCTGACGGCGTCACGGCGATGATCGTCGTCGTAAAATACATTGACATGGGTACTGAGGCGGAAAGTAAAGCGAGCAGTGCCGTGTGCAGAAGAGCAGGGAGAAGAGTGAGATACTGAACGATTAGCAAAAATAAAAAATAAAATAAAAAATAAAAATAAATAAAACCCCCTTCCTTAGAAAGGGAATCCTGAAAAAAAAAAAACGGGTTGCATAGCAGTTATCCTAACTTACCGAGCTTCCTCTACCTGTCGCCTTTGAATCTCCGCCTTCCAGAACAGCCAGAGTCAACACAACCCCTCGTCTGGGGAATCCCTTCTCGCGACCCAGGATTATCGCTCCCAACAGGTTCCGTAGAATCCCCTCCACGTACCGTTCCCCCACCGCCGGAGAAGACGTAGCCGGCTTCACAAACACCTCGAGTGTGGCTTCCTCGGGTTTGAGGGCGTCGCGGCGTGCAGGGAGCTCGATAGGCGCGTTCACTGCGCCCAGGACGTTGAACCCCGTCAACGGGCAGGTGTAGGTTGCAGAACCATCCGGGCGATGGACCGGCTGGAAACTAGCGACTCCATTGTCCGGGGGGTTCATGACGGCGGCGGTTGTGCAGCGTTCTGCTGGTCAAGCTGACTTGCTGTCCCAGCCCTTCCTCGAAGAAAAGTTTCGGTAGAGCAGAAGAGAGCATGCGGGGTCGGTCCTGATTGGCTGGAGAAAGTCAAAGTCACATGACCTCACATGACCTCACATGATGAGTCAGCTGACCCCCGACCAAGGCTCCTGCCCAGGTTGATTCAGGTTATCTTGCTCGAAAGAACAGAACCGTGGACGATCGCATGGATACGGTTTCCTTTCTGTCGAATGAGATGAGGAAACCTTGCGAGAATCTACTAATCTACTGATAACAACTGTAGGTTAGTACCCCCTATCAACCGCCTGTACCGCTTGTACCGCCTGCACGGCTAGATAACGTCAGGAAAGCAGTGGAACAGTCTCAGCCATGGACGCCTGGGAGCTGTTTCAATGCACTGCAAGGGCACTCCATCCGCTTCGAGGGTACTAGAAAAGTGTCGTACTTGCTGTCGTACGCCGGTGGTACTGCAAAAGCGCGATGATTGGCAGCAGCTAGCAGAAAAGAATGAGGGGATGAAGTCATGGTTGGGTCACGTCGTACATTATGTGATGCACAGCGAATAAGAAGCTTCTGCGCTGTTGGAAGAGAGATAGGTCGCCGTGTTGCGCTGACGGTCAATTGGAACAGAGAGACATTGGCTGGCCAAGCTATTTTCCTCCGGTCGCCTTCGTGAGGCTTCCCACCAAGCTGCCAATGATCATGCAGCAGCTGAGAAACAGGTTGCATTCGCCCTCGATTCATGGCAAACCCCTCATCCCCATGGCGAGTACGGGGTATTAAGGCCTTGTTACTTCCGGATGGCTATACCACGGTGCTCGGAAACGGTCTGCTTGTGCAACTTCCCCTCCTCTTGGCTGGCTTAGTGATTTATAACTACTGGACGTTGTGGGAGTCTTATCTTATTGTCCGCCGAGAACAATAGATTGACCCTGCCTCCTCCACGCCTTCTACCCTCACCATTCAAACTACCCACTCGTTTTCTTAAGGGCTCGCCCTTGCTTCGTCGTTTCTCTCAATTGAATGGGCATAGAGACCTCTCCTCCCGATGTCGAGGAATCGACGGAGCCTCCTATATCTTCTTCCACCAAAGAACAGCAGCTTTCTCCGTCCTCAAATTCCACAGTTTGTGCTGTAGGCCACGAGTCCCGGAGAGTGGACTTGACCATCACAGGTCCATGTAGCCAGAACACCGTCTCGGTTGTTCCCCTAGCTTCAACCGAGTCCTTTCAGGGTCTGTCGAGCAGTCCAGATAAATATGCTCACACGGTGCATTCGTTAGAACTTGCACGGATCCTTGATGTCGACCTCCAGTACGTCTCTGTCTTGTCTCGTAATGTTTTGAATTTACCAAAAGAATATACATCCCTGACGCTGCTGTTTCCCGCAGCGATGGACTCTCAAGCGTCGAAGCAGCCTCTCGCCTGGAGCGAGATGGACCCAACCGGGTCCGAGAAATGGACACTGTATCGATATGGAAGATCATGTTGAGGCAAGTTTCCAACAGTTTAACCTTAGTACGATCTGTTGCCCATCATTTTCCTATGTCCGGGTCTCCTGCCATCCATTCCCTCCGGGTGCTGCTTTGGCTGTGACATTGGCGATTAATCTGCTGCCTCACACAGGTTCTCGTTCTCACCATGGGGCTGTCCTTTGGAATCAACGACTACGTCGAAGGCGGCGTTGTCACTGCCGTCATCCTACTGAATGTTGTCGTTGGGTAAGATAGAAAAGAATTTCACCGATTGGAAAAGCCCCGTCAACTGGTTGCTAATCATCCGGGACTTAGGTTCCTTCAAGATTACCGTGCCGAACAAACGATTCTTTCCTTGCACCATCTGTCGGCTCCGACATGTAAGGTCATCCGGGATGGACGTGTCGCTTCTGTCAAGGCGGAATCTCTCGTCGTCGGGGATGTCGTCCAGCTGGCCGTGGGTGATATTGTTCCAGCAGATGTGCGACTGTTTGATGGAATGAATGCCGCGACGGACGAGGCGATGCTGACTGGCGAGTCTCTCCCTGTGACAAAGACACCCACCACCACCTTTTCGTCTCGAGAGATCCCCATCGGGGATAGGACAAACATGGCCTACTCCGGCTGCAGCATGACCCAAGGCCGTGCCCGGGGAATCGTCACCGCCACAGGAATGAAGACGGAGGTCGGCAAGATCGCTCAGCTGCTCCAAGAACAGGCGTATGATGGCAGTGACGATTTGAACCCGGTGATGCGATTCCTCCATCGATCCAAGGAGACCGCCAGGAGTATTCTCGGGCTAGTCGGTACGCCATTGCAGGTGAAGCTGAGCAAGTTCGCCCTTCTCCTCTTTGCCCTCGCCATCCTCCTCGCCGTCATCGTTTTCTCCGTCAATCTTTGGGATATCAAGGGCGAAGTTTTGATATACGGCATCTGTGTCGCCGTTGCCGTCATCCCGGAGTCACTCATCGCTGTCCTCACCATCACCGTCGCCGTAGGGACCAAGTCCATGGCGAAAGGCAATGTCGTCGTCCGGAAACTCCAGTGTCTCGAGGCAGTCGGCGGTGTAACAAACATTTGTTCGGACAAGACTGGGACTCTGACGCAGGGGAAGATGGTTGCGCGATCGGCGTGGATCCCAGACGGAGGAAACCTGTTCGTTCACCAGACGACCAACCCTTACGACCCAACTAGGGGAGTCGTGGACTTTGATGGGACCTCCTGCAACCCAGATGAGTTACGGAATCACAGATTAGTGGGGAAATTCCTGACTGCCATTTCATTGTGTAATCTGGCGGTTGTACAGAAGAAGGGGGCCCCGTCGAGAAGCGAGAACGAAAGGGTCGCTGCCGATGAGAATGAGTGGACTGCGGTTGGGGAGCCCACTGAGATTGCTCTGCAGGTTCTGGCCATGCGGTTCCAATGCGGGAAGCCCTCGCTACTTGACGAGAGGCAGATGAGTCTTCGGACAGAGTACCCATTTGACTCTGCGATCAAGAGGATGACTGTCATCTACGAACTTGCCGATAGGACCACCAATGGAGTCTATACCAAGGGAGCGCCGGAAGCGGTGCTTCCGTGCCTGGCCCTCGGCGAAAAGGACAAGGAAATCCTCCAGGAGAAGGCAGACCGGATGGCCGGGGAAGGCCTGAGGGTTCTCTGCGTGGCATCCAAGGAGGTCTCCAGCACGGACAAACGCCCGCTGTCTGATCGCAGCGCTGCGGAGACGAATCTCCAGTTTGCCGGGCTGGTCGGATTGTACGACCCGCCACGGATTGAGACGGCTGCTGCAGTGCGCAAGTGCCAGATGGCTGGCATCACCGTGCACATGTTGACGGGCGACCACATCCGAACCGCGACGGCGATCGCAGCGGAGGTCGGCATCCTGGACGCAGTGGTTGGCAACATCAAGTCCAGCCGGGTTGTCATGGGGGCGGGCCAGTTCGATCGAATGACCGAGGCCGAGATCGATGCGATCGAGCAGCTTCCCCTGGTGATTGCACGGTGCAGCCCCGCGACCAAAGTCCGCATGGTGGAGGCGATGCACCGGCGCAATGCCTTCTGCGTCATGACGGGAGACGGCGTGAACGATTCCCCCGCCCTGAAGCATGCAGACGTCGGCATTGCGATGGGCAAGAACGGCAGCGATGTGGCCAAGGAAGCGGCCGACATGGTCCTGACCGACGACAACTTCTCCTCGATCGTGCGGGCCGTCGAAGAAGGGAGAAGGCTGTTTGATAATATTCAAAAGGTAAAAGATTCCACGGGGTCGCTGTAACATTATCATAAAAACAACTGACCGTAATAGTTCCTCATGCACCTGCTCATCTCGAACATCTCGCAAGTCATCTTGCTGCTGGTTGCACTCGCCTTCAAGGACACGGAGAACAACTCGGTCTTCCCCTTGTCGCCGATTGAGATTCTATGGGCGAATCTGATCACCTCGTCCTTTCTCGCTATCGGGTTGGGCCTGGAAGAAGCCCAGCCGGACATCATGTACCGCCCACCGCACGACCTCCGCGTCGGGGTCTTCACGCGCGAGCTCATCGTGGACAAGATGATATACGGCACGTTCATGGGCACGCTCTGCCTGCTGGCGTTTGTCTGTGTCATCTACGGGGCGGCCTCCGGGTCCGCGTCCCTGGGCACCGACTGCAACCGGGCCTTGCACCCGTCGTGCCATGTGGTCTTCCGGGCGCGCGCGACGACCTACGCGACGCTGACTTTTCTCCTGCTCATCACCGCGTGGGAGGTGAAGCACTTCTCGCGCTCGCTCTTCCGGCTCGACCCCATCCGCCACCCGGGGCGGTTCTCCGTCTTCCCGACCCTGTGGCGGAACCGGTTCCTGTTCTGGGCGGTCGTCGCCGGGTTCGTGGTGACGTTTCCCGTCATCTACCTGCCTGTCGTCAACCGGGCGGTGTTCATGCACCTGCCGATTACCTGGGAATGGGGCATCGTGGTCGGCTGCATGGCCGCTTACCTGGGGCTGGTGGAGAGCTGGAAGGCGATGAAGCGGGCGCTGGGCATCGGCAGCGGCAAACACGGCGCTGGCATCACGCTGGAAGACGCCGAGACAAGGGCAGGGCTGTCTATCCCCACGCCGCTGTCGCTGAGCGCGCAGGCGAGTGTGGAGATGAAGGCGTAGAAAAGACCAGTAACGGAGTAGTGGGGGCGGTATTATTATCATTCTGGAGATGCTGTTCAACACACCATCTAGGAAGAGAAATCGAAGGAATCAACTTCCTCTCGACACAGTCGCTTATGCTGTCTAGTATCAATTCGTGATTAATTCCTTGACTGTGTACTCTGGAGTAGTAACGTAGTAACTCGCTTTTGATCTCCTCTCGCAAGTAAACACAACTTCCAAGAACATACCAGTTAATACACCGGAAGTTTTCGGATGAGAAATGCAATCCCTTGTTCCTCTCTATGGTTATCTCATACCCTGGTCAAGCTGATTCTGCAGCTGCATCGCTGCAGCCGTGACACATCAGTATAAGTTGTGCGTGCCCCGCCTGAAGTTCCACCTCCGAGTCCAACCTTCATCTTCCTCTCAGACAGCGATATTAGAGATACAGATCTATATACGTATTTATTAATATTTATATTTACAAGACACCATGAGGATTCTGTGCCTGCACGGTCGAGGAACCAGCGGGTTCATCTTCAAGTCCCAGACGTGTACGTTAAGAGAAGAAGAGAAGAGAAGAAGAGAAGAAGAAGAAGACTAATACCAAGACAGCCTCCTTCCGCAGCATGCTCGAAGATCTGGATATCGAATTCGAGTGGCTGGATGGCGCGTACCCCGACAAGGCAGCACCAGGGATCGACCTGTTCTACGACCCGCCCTACTACTCCTTCTACCCGGCCGACACGCTCGAGGCGCTGGCGGTGACGCGCCGCTGGCTGGACAACCACCTTGCACAGTCGGGTCCTTACGACGCGGTGATGATGTTCTCGCAGGGGTGTGTGGTGGGATACTCTGCGCTGCTGCACCATGAGATCGAGCAGAGGACGAACGGGGCCAGCAGCAGCAGCAGCAACACCCCGCCGCCGTTCAAGGCGGCGATCTTCATCTGCGGCGGACCCCCGCTGCAAGAGCTGGAGAGTCTCGGCTTTCACATCTCGGACGAGGTGCAGGCGCAGGATACCCGGGCGCGAGAGGCCCTCGCCGCGCAGGCGGACTCGGCGGCCATCCTCAAGCAGGGCGGGGCGCGGTGGGCGGGTGTCGCATCTGAAGATGAGAAGCCGGAGGAGGAGCTGCGGCAGCAGATCACCGGTCCCTATAAAGTTCGCATTCCTACGGTGCACATCTACGGGACCAAAGATCCCCGGTATGCCGCTGGTGTGCAGCTGTCGGGCCTGTGTGATGAGAGCCTGCGTCGTACCTTCAACCACCAGGGCGGGCATGAGATCCCCCGGATGGAGGCAGTGAGCCGTCAGATTGCGGACATGGTGCGCTGGGCTCTCAAGGAGTCAGCGCTTGTGTGAAAAAAAAAAAGAAAGGAAAGGAAAAGGAAAGAAGGAAGGGAATGGAAGGGGGAAAAGAAATGGCTGCCTGTGCTGCCTGGACATTTGACCCATGGAAGTGACGCTGTCTTGCAAGGCATCCGCGAGAATAATTTGGGTTCTTTGGATACACCCTCACCTTTTAGTCCTAATCGAGAATAGGGATGTCTTTCGCTACCGTTTTCCTGCTCAGATCATGAAGATAAATAGCTTGTCTGTTCCCGAATCTCTCTGTCCCCCTCTTCCTTCTTACATCTTTCTTGAAACTATCATTTCACCACTCCATCGTGTATCCATCTTGTGTATCCAAGATGCATCTCTCTATCCTCTCTCTCGTCTCTGCCCTCTCTGCCACTCTAGTCTTGGTCTCCCCCCCAGTCTCTGCGTCCGTCATCCCCGCAGAGTTCACCAACAAGACGTACCTGTCCGGGATGTTCTACGGACACCGTCCCACCCGGCCCCTGCTCAACCACAGCTGGAGCCATGACAATGCCACCTGGGCGTACAGCAATACCTCCTCTCACGGCCTAATCCGCCGCGAGGGCGAGAGTGAGAGTGAGGCAGACGCTGACGCAGAGAGCGCCTCCGTCCCAGAGCGTACGCGTTGTCTATCCACTGATAACTGTGTATGGGGTTACACCTGCGACGAAAAGCGCGGGATATGCAAGTACGGGTGTACCGAGGACGAGCACTGTCTCAAGCCCCAGACCTGCTCCATGGGCCGCTGCACGCTGCCAAACGACAGGCCGTGTGGAGCGGTTAAGAGGCTTTGCGCTGATCATAGAGAATGCTGCACCGGTCGATGCGAGCGGTTGTTCTGGCCGTTGTGGAAGAAGTGCGAGATTGACCTTAGCAACCGCGACAAGCCGCGTATCATCTAATAAGTTGTCATGAAGTTGAGTCTGTTGACTGTTGATTCTTGACTGTTGGTCTAAATTGCTCTGTTCCTTGATTATGTATTAAGCCGTGTCTTCGTGGCTGCTTGTTTGCTGTCTACCTTGATAATAATAATATAATCCATCTCAACTAGATGGTTTCTCCCTCTAAGTCATGCATTGTAGAATATCATAATGACGCCTAGACAGTCCAGGCAGCAGAATGGCTTCAATATATATATTATAAGGACATAATTATATTAAGAATAGCTAGATGTCTATCACTCCTTTCAACCTTCACATATCATCCTATATATCATTTATATAAATTTCTCTTATATATTCGCAGTGAAGGTATAAAAGACAAAATCTACTTTTATATTGTAAGTTAGGAAGATTCATTATACACCTATATAAGCTGAATATTATTCTAAATTAAGAGATATAGACTTGGTATATATTCTTCATTTATTTTTAAAAATACTCTGGAATACATCTCACCCCTGCAGTTTGCTCAAATATCAATTGACGGGTCCATGCAGGTCCAGCCCAGTTTAAGATGGATACAAACAAACTTACACACCCTGGTGTATTAGAATCTAGACCATCAGCAAGGAGATATGGTTTGAGCCTTATATAAAAAGATTAATTTGAAACGCATCTGCGAAGGTAGCCCTTCATTACAGTCCAATGAACAGAAGTAGGACGTAGCCTTAGAAAGGCAGAGTGACATTATTATACTAGATCAGGTATAAGTCATAGAGATAAGAGTTTAGTAGATCATCCGCGCTAGCTTCAAAGCACCAGATCAAGCCTTCTCGGTGCTCTGGATATCTTCGTGCTCATGCACCTTCTTGAGGTCATCGACATGCTCAACACCAAGGAGACCAAGCTCCTCATAGATGCGCTGCATGCGAAGGCGATCCGCCTCGGCGATGCTGTCCTCGCCACCACCGAAGAAAATATCCAGCTCCTCCAGGGTCTTGTTCTTGGTCTCAGGGGCGAACTTCCAGATGAAGATACCACCGAGGGCGGAGAAGACGGCAAAGAAGATGTAGGTGCCGTACTTCATCGAGTTGAGCATGTCCTTGGTAGTCAGGCCGATGATGAAGTTGAACATCCAGTTGGTCGACGCCACGATGGCGACACCGCGGGAGCGCATGCTGTTGGGGAAGATCTCCTGCGTCAAAACCCAGGCGACAGGACCTGCATTCATGTTAGTTGGCTGGTAAACAAGAAAGAAAAAAAAAATCTTACCCCAAGAGTAGGCAAAGTTGACAGCGAACAGCCAGATGAAGGTGATGGCAACCCAACCTTGGGCCTTGTCAAGACCCTTGTTTTCGTCCCACTTGTCTTGGTACAAGCCAAAGACAGTCGCGACGACGATGTGGCAGCAGAACATTCCGATGGCACCGACGATGAGGAAGGTTTTACGACCGAACTTGTCGAGGAACAGGACAGAGGGCATGGTGAAGGTGATCTGCAGGATACCAGTGACACCGGTGGCGAGCAGGGTCGTCTTGGTGGAGTTGAAGCCAAAGGACTCGAAAAGCTGAGGGGCATAGTACATGACAGCGTTGATACCGGTGAACTGTTGGGCAACCATGGTGATGCATCCGAGCATGAGGCGGCGGAACATGTTGGGCTCGAACAGGGCCTTCCAGGGAGCGAGCCTGCCACCAGCACCAATCTGCTCCTGCTCGGACTGTTCGTCGAACATGACGGTGGCCTTGATTTCGAGGAACTCGGCACGCAGCAAGGGGTCGGTGGGGGAGAGGCGGCGAAGCTTGGAGAGGGCGGCAAGAGCGTCGTCCTCACGGTGCTTCATCATCAACCAACGGGGGGAGAAGGGGAAGAAGATGATGCCGAAGAAGAGGATCCAGGCCGGGATGAGCTGCAGGGCCAAGGGCAATCTCCAGGCGATGGTCTTCTGACCCAGACAGGTGTGGCCGTGGTTCTGAGCAGCGTTGTAGGTACCGTCCGCGAGGAAGGGATCGGAGATGCCCTCCGGGTCACAGTGCACGCCACCAACGTACTGCATGCCATAGTCGAGCCAAAAGGCAATGGCCGTGCCGATGGTGATGAATAGCTGCTGCAGCGAGACGAGCGAGCCTCGGAGCTCGGGAGGAGCAACTTCGGCCTGGTAGAGAGGAACAACCATACTGAACATACCGATACCGACACCACCGATGATACGACCGGCGAAGAAGTAGGCCGGAGTCTGGGCGCCGGCCTGGAGACCAGTGCCCAGGGTGAAGATAATGACAGCAACCATCATAGAGTATTTCCGAGAAATGGCGTCGGCGAGGTAACCGTTAAACAGAGCACCAGCCCAGGCACCGAGTTCCAAAGCAGAAACCAGCCATCCTTGGATGGTGGCACCCATGAAGACGGGGAAGTGGTTCTCGAAGTTCTCCATGACCAGCACCGGACTCATCACACCCTGATCGTAACCGTACATGACACATCCGAGGGAGGCGAAACAACAGGTCCCGAACACATATGGGTTGCGGAACATGCCGATGAGACCCGAGGCCTTGTCCGCATTGTTGCGGCCGACAACCGATTGACTGACTGCCATCTTTGCGCGCGCAGAGGAGGAATGGAAGGGAAGGAGATCAGACGCTGGTCGAAGAAACAGGCAAAATTGGGCAGATCTTTCCGTCTTTATATACCTGTGAAAATCACTTTCCCATTCAGGGCAGTCGTCTGTTCCTCGCAGGTTCCGACCACTCCTCCCCCCTGTCGCCCCCCAAGAAGATGGGTCGGAAGTACGGAGTAGGTCGCATAACGGCTGTCATCCACACACACACCCACCTCCAGTCCCCAGTACTCTTCCATACAGAGTAGTACTCCATGTTTCTAGCCCTTAACAAAGTCACGCGCTAGGTGCCATGGTGCTCGGTCACTAACAAACGCCACCAGTCAGACTGTTGGCTTGGCACTGCACCAGCAAGGATGGGTTTCCGGCAATAGTATATTCCAGGCATCTTGGATGGGCGGATGTCTCCAGCTATTCCACGCTACCAAGCTTTGTGGCGATGGGGAGAAGCGTCCTTTACCAAGCCATGGCTGGGTGTGGGCGCGTAGGAGGGAGCATGACCCAGAGCAGCCGTCTTCCTCCCGGTCATGATTCGCCCAGTCAACGTCCCAGTCTCAGGAGTGCGGAGAGCCGACGTGCAGCTCCTGCCTGGGGTGTCCTCAGCTCGTCCGATATTTGACCGACGCAGGTGATTATTTATGAAAAGAGCTCTCCGTCACGTTCGACCACCCCGGCAATTGCCCGTGACTTCTTTCTTGGCGACTTCTCTGGAGGTTGCAAGTGACTGACCATTGGCTATGAGCTTCCGAAGCACAAGAGTACACGTCCCAACCAGGAGGGGGCTCCCCAGAGCCTTCGTGGTCAGCGATAATACCATCTTAACACCACCCTCCGATGATATTTTCATCACCTAACCATTTTTTTTTTGGCCCCTTCGAGGCTTCTACTCCCCGAGACATGGCTAACGAATCCGAGAACCGACGAGTGTCCACCGTGGGGAGCACGTCAGGCGTCCTCCACCAGCGAGCGCCACTATACCAAATATTTGTGGTGAATCTGGTGATGGTGGCTTTATTCGGTTGTGTTGGCAAAGCGTCTGCCGTCCGTGGTTGGGGACTCGGGTCACAACTCATCTCCGGGCCTTACCACCAGAACGGAATAATAATGAAAAAATTCGCAACAAAAAAAAAACAAAGAACGCACTTGAACCCAAAGAGGGAAAGGACTCAAAGGAGTCTGGCACGGGACGGCAGAGAAGACTCAAACACGAGGTGGGAAGAGAGACTAAAACAAAGAGAGCAGGGGTTGGGACTGGCCAAAGGTCGAGCGAGAATCCGCGAGCTGCATGGATAACCTGATGGCCTGCCCAATAGCGTCCGACATGCGGTGATTTACCTACCACGAAGGATCTACTCCGTAGTTTGGCCTGTGAGCAAGACCCTGAAACGGAGATGAAGAATGTAATTCAATCAGACGGCCTATCGGACATCAAACCCAAGTTGTCCAGGTCGTCGTCAGCTCTGGGGTCCAGAGGCTCAACATTCGCTGGTCGACAGCCTCCAGCCCACCCGCTTTTCTGGTTCTGCCCTGTTATATTCCCCCCCCTTTCAAATGCCCCATTATTCAAATGCCCCATGGGGTCCCATAAAAAAAATCACCATACGGAGTACGGAGTAGACCATGGCTTTCGGCCCCCCCCGAGACTTGAGAGCTCCCGGTCCTGGCAAGCCAAACGACGCCAGCTCGGTCGGCAAACGTGGATCCAACCGAGAAGGAGTGTAGAAGCCTGAAAGGCTTCAATTAACACTAGTGACTGGCCAGCATCTGACCAGTAGCGATTTTTCTCCTCTCATCTTGTTTTTTCCCTTTTTTTTTTAATTTGCGCGTCACATGGTAATCACGCCTCTGGCGATGGCACGCCGTATACTCCGTAAACTACCCCGTAATCAAAACAATAACGAGCACCCGTATTGTTGGTCAGAAGTCGTTGGCTGTTCTGTGGGCCAACGTCGTATCGTCTGACCTCGCTTGCTGAAATTTCTTTCCCAGTGTCTCTCGCCTCCCTCCTATGAGAAGAAGGCTGTCAGAACACTTGCATGTGCAAAGCTACCCGGGCTAGACTAGGCGATCAATCGAACTTACTGGCAGATCAAGCATGGGGATCGATAAAAGGCGTTCGTATGGAGAACCTGGTGTGGTGTGGTGCGTCTCTAGCTGGTGCTGGGCAAAACAAAACAAGAAAAAAAGAGCAGTCTCGCTCTTGCAACTGGCGACTCTCAGACTCTCACCGTAGATCGTCAGGTGACATGTCACATGGGCTGCCATATTTTTCTGGTTTTCTCAGCTCAGGCAACCATCGTCAGTTCAGTTCGATTGACTGAGCACGGTGGGTACTCCGGTAAATGATCGTCTTTCCTAGGAAAAAAATTAAAGTGATTCCAACCTCGCTGGAGCCGTCCTTTGATCTTATCCATGACACTGGCCTTTTGCGGCCCCCTGCGAACGCCTCGAGTCATGCACCGGCCGCTGATTTGTGTATGCGACTGCACAGATGAGTTGGCAGTGGGAGAGCGACCAGGATGCGAGAGAGTCGATTAAAAGTGGCTGCTTTCTCGGCGGGAGGGGTTGAGAATGACTGACTGTCTTGAGTTCTTTTGAGACAGCTTTGTGGGGGATGACAATGGATCCAAATCAAGAGCTGTTGAGCTCTCTGCAGAGGTTTGTGTGGTACGATGTGAAATCAAGCATAAAGCTGACCTGCTGCAGATTGTTTCTCGATACAACATACTCTGATGTGATCATCCGCAATGGCGATGATGTATACAAGCTGCACAGAGCGATCATCTGTCCCCGATCAAAGTATCTGGCGGATCGCTGCACGGACCAGAGGCTGTGGGGTAATAGTGTATGTACCAATCTCGCCAATCAATTTATGTGTCAATACTAATGGCTGGGTTTTATGGAGCATAGGGATTGCTACCGATCGAACTCGATGAAGACCCCGTGGCTCTGAAGCTCATGTTTCACTACTTCTACCATCTGGACTACCCGCACGTCTCCGAGGTACTCGCGGTGAATCAACTTACAGATGATGGTGAGCCGGTCGAGGCTGCAGTCGAATGTTTAATCGAGGAGCCGGTCGAGAACGGAGCGGCCTGTGAGCCAGAGGCGACAACTCCGTGGCCTGAACCAGAGCCTGAACCAGCAGTCAAAGAACCCGTCGAAGAACCCGTCAAAGGACCTGTCAAAGGACCTGTCGAAGAACCTGTCGAAGAACCCGTCGAAGAACCCGTCGAAGAACCCGTCGAAGAACCCGTCGAAGAACCCGTCGAAGAACCCGTCGAAGAACCTGTCGAAGAACCTGTCGAAGAATCTGTTGAGGCTGTCGAGGCTGTCGATGGACATGTTCCTATTCATTCTTCGCTATACACATGGGGGTATTGGAAGCCTGTAACGCCTTCAGAGCCGGTTGAAGCCGCTGAACCTTCAGAGCCGGTTGAAATTGTTGAAGCTATTGAAGCCGCTGAACC